ACTATCGTACTGGGGTGTTCGCCGGTAAATCCGAGATCCCAGTTCACTAAACGTTTCGCGATCATGTGCATGAACACTCAACGCAGAATGTATGTCGGCAAGTTACCCACAACGATACCGCATGGTCTTTTGGAGGCACAGGTGGCCCAGTCGTCAAAGGCGCCGCGATTCGTTCTGCAGAGTTGCGTCCCTTATGAACATATGATTGTGGGTTCGAATCCCGGTTCGCCCAGATTATGTTTCTAGGTTTGTCAGCACCCTGACCATGTTGACATTTTCAGCCGATGCACTGGGTTGCCTCTATATATAGCATGTTAGAAGCAAAAACTGGACATCGCTGTCTGCAGCGTGTGCACAGTTGTCTGCAATACTACGCATTTGTGCTCAGCAAAGGTACCAGTTCACAGGGCGAAATTAACGAGAGATTACTACCAATTTAATCTGTTAAATTTGCATGATCTCAGTTGTGATATGATATTTCCTTTGATAACCTCTATTTTTTTCGTTTACCCGTACTGGAAAAACATAACGGTAACTATTTTTTTACAGCGCAATGATATCGCTGACTTCCGCGGTAGTTTGGTTATCAAACGATGTAACCGTGTCGGTGTTGTCGGAGGTGAACATCAAACCTGTCGTGCCCGTTTTCGTGAGAAGTCTGCTGATGTGACTGGTAGGGCCTTGCTATGGGATGCTGACGACATCTAACCAATGTGTTTAACTGACTATATATGTCCAGTTGCCACCCTTGCCGAACTAGGCTGGAATTATGGTGCTATATTTTGGCAACGTGCCGTCAACACATTTTTTGACATCTTTCATGTTTTTTATCAAAGTGCTAACGTGATTTGATGCCCTTCGCAAAGTAAGAACCGTTTTATTTCAACACAAATCTTGATGATCGATAAGAACGTCTTGACTTTGCGCCGCCATTTTGTTTGAAGCAAGTGATATGAAAGATGGAATCTGATTGGTCAATAGGAGGGACATAGAAGGGGCATAACTCGTGATATTTAGCCACTGGTGGCGCTACGATCGAGCCAAGAAATTCAAGCCTGGTTCGGCAAGGGTGGAAACTGGACTTTTACAGTCAGTTAACTCCCTTGCCTCGGGAAGATGGCCGACGAGAATGGGTGAATGGGCTGGTTTGGCCTTGGAAACTGGATCTTTTTACTGGGTTTCCTGGGTTTCCTCTACCAGACGTTTTCTGTCAACATGTGTCACATATTGCAACCTGTATCACGTATTGCTACCTAGCTGTATCATTTATTGCAACCTGTAATACATTTTGCTGCCTGTGTCTCGTATTGAAGGCGGTACCATTTATTCTTTCCGTATCATTCTATATATATATAGATATACCCTATGACAAATTGCTTCATAGGGTACTGTGACCTGACATGTTGGTATCGGAATCATATATTGCTATCTGTATCACATATTGCAACCTGTATCACATATTGCAACCTGCTTCACATATTGCAATCTGTATCCCATTGTGCAGCCTGTATCACATCTTGCTACCTGTATCACATATTGCAACCTGTACCACGTATTGCTACCTGTATCACACATTGCAACCTGTATCATATATTGCAGCCTGCATCACATATTGCAACCTATATCCCATCTTGCTACCTCCATCACATATTGGTACCTGTATACCTATTGCAACATGTATCCCATATTGCAACATGTATCACATCTTGCTACCTGTATCACATATTGCAACCTTTATACTTATTGCAACATGTGTCACATATTGCAACCTGTATCACATATTGCTACCTAGCTGTATCATTTATTGCAACCTGTAATACATTTTGCTGCCTGTCTCGTATTGAAGGCGGTACCATTTATTCTTTCCGTATCATTATATATATATATAGATATACCCTATGACAAATTGCTTCATAGGGTACTGTGACCTGACATATTGGTATCGGAATCATATATTGCTATCTGTATCACATATTGCAACCTGTATCACATATTGCAACCTGTATCACATATTGCAACCTGCTTCACATATTGCAATCTGTATCCCATTGTGCAGCCTGTATCACATATTGCAACCTGTATCACATATTGCAACCTGTATCACATATTCAGCCTGTATCACATATTGCAACCTGTACCACATATTGCTACCTGTATCACACATTGCAACCTGTATCACATATTGCAGCCTGCATCACATATTGCAACCTGTATCACATATTGCAGCCTTTTTAACAATATTGCAACCTGTGTCACAAATTGCTACCTGTTCATATATTGCAGCCTGTATCACATTTTGCAACCTGTATCACATATTGCAGCCTGTTTCACATATTGCAACTTGTATCCCATCTTGCTACCTCCATCACATATTGGTACCTGTATACCTATTGCAACATGTATCACATATTGCAACATGTATCACATCTTGCTACCTGTATCACATATTACAACCTTTATACTTATTGCAACATGTATCACATATTGCAACATCTATCACATATTGCTCCTGTATCACATATTGCAGCCTGTTTCAAATATTGCAACTTGTATCACATATTGCAACCTGTATCACATGCTGCAACTTGTATCACATATTGCAGCCTGTATCACATGTTGCTACCTGTATCACAAATTGCAACCTGTTTCACATCTTGCTACCTGTATCACACATTGCAACCTGTATCACATATTGGTATATGTATCACATATTGCAACCTGTTTCACATCTTGCTACCTGTTGCACATATTGCTCCGTATCACATATTGGTATATGTATCACATATTGCCCCCTGTTTCGCTAATTGCTACCTGTTTCACATATTGTCACCTGTTTCATATTGCTGTTTCCCATAGTGCTTTCTGTTTCATATATTGCTACCTGTATCATATTAATGTTTCACATATTGCTATCTGTATCACATATTGCTAACTGTTTCACATATTGATGTTTCACATATTGCAACCCGTTTCATATTGCCGTTTCACATATTGCTACCTGTTTCACATATTGCTATCTGTATCACATATTGTAACCTGTTTCACATATTGCTATCTGTATCACATATTGTAACCTGTTCATATTGCTGTTTCACATATTGCTATCTGTATCACATATTGTAACCTGTTTCACATATTGCTATCTGTATCACATATTGTAACCTGTTCATATTGCTGTATCACATATTGCTACCTGTTTCATATTGTTGTTTCACATATTGCTACCTGTTTCACATATTGCTATGTTTCATATTGCTGTTTCACATATTGCTACGTGTTTCATATTGCTGTTTCACATATTGCTACGTGTTTCATATTGTTTCACATATTGCTACCTGTTTCACTTATGGCTACCTGTTTCATATTGCTTTCACATATTGCTATTTGTATCACATATTGCTACCTGTTTCACATATTGCTACCTGTTTCATATATTTCAACCTGTTTCACATATTGTTATCTGTATCACATATTGCAACCTGTTTCACATATCGATACCTGTTTCACATATTGCTATCCGTTTCACATATTGCAACCTTTTTACATATTGCTACCTGTATCACATATAGCTATCTGTATCACAACCTGTTTCACATATTGCTACCTGTTTCATATTGCCGTTTCACATATTGCAACCTGTTTCACATGTTGCTACCTGTATCATATTAATGTTTCACATATTGCTATCTGTATCACATATTGCTAACTGTTTCACATATTGATGTTTCACATATTGCAACCCGTTTCATATTGCCGTTTCACATATTGCTACCTGTTGCACATATTGCTCCGTATCACATATTGGTATATGTATCACATATTGCCCCCTGTTTCGCTAATTGCTACCTGTTTCACATATTGTCACCTGTTTCATATTGCTGTTTCCCATAGTGCTTTCTGTTTCATATATTGCTACCTGTATCATATTAATGTTTCACATATTGCTATCTGTATCACATATTGCTAACTGTTTCACATATTGATGTTTCACATATTGCAACCCGTTTCATATTGCCGTTTCACATATTGCTACCTGTTTCACATATTGCTATCTGTATCACATATTGTAACCTGTTTCACATATTGCTATCTGTATCACATATTGTAACCTGTTCATATTGCTGTTTCACATATTGCTATCTGTATCACATATTGTAACCTGTTTCACATATTGCTATCTGTATCACATATTGTAACCTGTTCATATTGCTGTATCACATATTGCTACCTGTTTCACATATCGATACCTGTTTCACATATTGCTATCCGTTTCACATATTGCAACCTTTTTACATATTGCTACCTGTATCACATATTGCTATTTGTATCACATATTGCTACCTGTTTCACATATTGCTACCTGTTTCATATATTTCAACCTGTTTCACATATTGTTATCTGTATCACATATTGCAACCTGTTTCACATATCGATACCTGTTTCACATATTGCTATCCGTTTCACATATTGCAACCTTTTTACATATTGCTACCTGTATCACATATAGCTATCTGTATCACAACCTGTTTCACATATTGCTACCTGTTTCATATTGCCGTTTCACATATTGCAACCTGTTTCACATGTTGCTACGTGTTTCACATTGCAGTTTCACATATTGCTAACTGTTTCATATTGCTACCTGTTTCACATATTGCTACCTATTTCATATTTTTGTTTCACATATGGGTACCTGTTTCATATTGCTGTTTCACATATTGGTACCTGTTTCATATTGCTGTTTCACATATTGCAACCTGTTTCACATTGCTGTTTCACATATTGCAACCTGTTTCACATGTTGTAACGTGTTTCATATTGGTTTCACACACACACACACACACACACACACACACGTGTATGTTTGTATGTATGTATGTATGTATGTATGTATGTATGTTGTATGTATGTATGTATGTATGTATGTATGTATGTATGTATGTATGTATGTATGTATGTATGTATGTATGTATGTATGTATGTATATTACAACAACAAGCTTCATTATTTGTAACACTTGTTTATTGACAATAATGATGACAATGAAAGACACTCCTGTGATGCAAGACTCTTCCCGGCAACATCCGAAGTCTTCCAATACACAAACTACCAGCTGTTGTATCAATGAATAGTTGAGAGTGTTCAGATATACACGTGACCTCCATCACACCCTCTCACTGAACCAGCAGGCCTGACCTGACCTGGGGCTGATTCAGTATGGCAATGAGAATACAAGCAGATTCAAGTTACAAACACATCTTCACAGTTTCTATGGAATAAATGAGACATGTTCTTGATCAGGGCACATCCAGACTCTCAGCATGGATGAGGGCATCCCATTCGAAATAGTATGCCCTGGCTACTATAGTCCTAACACAACAATCACATCATTATTGGACCAGATAAAGTCATAGCTCCTACTGCTCATCCACAATCATTCATTGCAGGACTCATTTCATTCTGTGCATCACAATATTCCACAACTAAACAGGCAACAGGCCCGATATAGTCTAAAATAGATGCAGAAAAAATGATGTGCTGGGTTACAAATACCACAACGCTATGAAAAGCACATCTACTAATTTACATCCCAATAAAAAAATATAATAGTTTGCAGCTCTGGTGTATTTTCCTACAAAATAAAAATGCCAATTCTCTGAACTGCCTTCCGACATTGACATGGACCAATGATCACTTGAACATTACCTATATCCCCATCACATTTAGAATGTATGCTCTGGGAGGAAGCTTAACCACCATTCCGACGCCATGGATGCTAAACAGAAAGGCTCAATAGAGAGGCCCTGTATAGAGGCCAATATAGGCCCTGTTTTGGTTATGATAGGCTATGGATGCTTAATAGAAAGGCCCTGTATACAGGCCATGGCGGCTCAATAGAGCCCTGCACAGAGGCTATGGCATCATTTGAGAGGCTCTGTATATAGGCCATGGCGGCTCAATAGAGCCCTGTATAGAGGCCATGGCGGCTCAAAAGAGCCCTGTATAGGGGCCATGGTGGCTCAATAGAGAGGCCCTGTACAGAGGCCATGGTGGCTCAATAGACAGGCCCTGTATAGAGGCCATGGTGGCTCAATAGACAGGCCCTGTATAGAGGCCATGGTGGCTCAATAGAGAGGCCCTGTATAGAGGCCATGGCGGCTCAATAGAGAGGCCCTGTACAGAGGCTATGGATGCTCAATAGAGAGGCCCTGTATAGAGGCCATGGAGGCTCAACAAAGAGGCCCTGTACCAAGGCCATTGAGGCTCAATAGAGAGGCCCTGTATAGGGGCCATGGAGGCTCAATAGAGAGGCCCTGTATAGAGGCCATGGAGGCTCAACAAAGAGGCCCTGTACCAAGGCTATTGAGGCACAATAGAGAGGCCCTGTATAGGGCCATGGAGGCTCAATAGAGAGTCCCTGCATTCAGGCTAGGGATGCTCAATCGCAAGGCCCTGTATAGAGGCCATGGTGGCTCAACAAAGAGGTCCTGTACCAAGGCCATGGAGGCTCAATAGAGAGGCCCTGTATAGGGGCCATGGAGGCTCAATAGAGAGGCCCTGTATTGAGGCCATGGAGGTTCAATAGAGGCCTTGTATAGAGGCTCAATAGAGAGGCCCTGAATAGAGGCCATGGAGGCTCAATAGAGGCCATGAGTGAATGAGTTGTTTTTAACGCAACACTTAACAGTATTGTCAGCTTGATGTGGGAGGAAACCCAGAAATGATGCAGGTTGGAGGTTTACCACATAGGTGTACAGTGGGTATGGACAAACCAAGAAATATAACCAGGTGCATGTTGGACTTGTCCCCATGGTTTCTGCCTTGCCCAATGGATGCAACTCCGCACAGCGAGTCGTCATGCTTGGACAACTAGACCACCTTTGTCCCGCCCCCTACCCTGTCCATACTCTGTGCTGCACAGAAGCCATGCAGAGAGGCCCTGTAGAGGTCATGTAGAGAGACCATACAGGGCTCAGTTGAGAGGCCATGCAGAGAGGCCCTGTAGAGGTCATGTAGAGAGACCATACGGGGCTCAGTTGAGAGGCCATGCAGAGAGGCCCTGTAGAGGTCATGTAGAGAGACCATACGGGGCTCAGTTGAGAGGCCATGCAGAGAGGCCCTGTAGAGGTCATGTAGAGAGACCATACGGGGCTCAGTTGAGAGGCCATGCAGAGAGGCCCTGCAGAGGTCATGTAGAGAGACCATACGGGGCTCAGTTGAGAGGCCATGCAGAGAGGCCCTGTAGAGGTCATGTAGAGAGACCATAAGGGGCTCAGTTGAGAGCCATGCAGAGAGGCCCTGTAGAGGTCATGTAGAGAGACCATAAGGGGCTCAGCTGAGAAACCATGCAGAGAGGCCCTGTAGAGGTTATGCAGAGTGGCTGTGTAGACAGACTGTTCAAACCATATCGTGAGGCCCTGTAGAGGTTATGTAGAGTGGCCGTGTAGACAGGCTCTATTCAAATCATATAGAGGGGCCCTGTAGAGAGGTCATGTAGAGATCGAGCAGAAAAAACTCTAAATATGAACTCTGCATGACTATATAATATATCTAAGAGAATATAAAAGGCAAAGGTTACAATGGGTACACATTCACAATAGTATTCCACATTCCCATTCTGTCCTACCATAAATATCATGATACCATATTGACCCTTTAGAAATAAGAGTACAGGAAGAAAATTAATCTGAAAATCACTCGAAGAATGCAAACAACTCACAGCTGTATCATGTCACGTAAAAAAAGCAAATCTAAAATTAAACTGCAGAACATTTAAAAACAGAATTTTACAAAAGTATGTCATTTCATGAAGCATGCACATAGCTGTAGGAAATGTTGGCTTAGGGGCCACAAGCTAGTGAAGTGTTAACAGCCATGGGATTTTCCAAATTTAGAGAGTGAGTGAGTGAGTATGGTTTTACGCCGCTTTTAGCAATATTCCAGCAATATCACGGCGGGGGACACCAGAAATGGGCTTCACACATTGTTGTACCCATGTCGGGAATCGAACCCGGGTCCTCGGTGTGCCAAGCGAACACTTTAACCACTAGGCTACCTGACCGGCCCCCTCCAAATTTAGAGGGGGGGGGCTAATTTTGGTAAAGTCCATGTAAGAAGTGAAGGACAAGGGGCATAGAGTTTGCATGGAATTTTGTATCTTCAGGACGATTTGGCGAAATATTGATGTTAATTGAGCTTCATATGCTATATAGATGTGTCATATACACTGAGTAAAATAAAAAAAGGTTTGCATGTATGTGTCGGCATAGAAAAATAAGTGTAAATTTGAATTATAGTTTTTCAAATTTTGAAGAAAATAGTACCCTCGGACCCATGATCCAACAAACAATAGCAAAATGGTCCCAGAAGAAGAAGTCACAAATAATATTTGGTAGAAACAGCAGGCAGCGTTATGACAACAAAACAATGTGATGTCTAGATATCTCAACACACATTAGGCCAGGCGTTTTATATTTTATAGATTACGGACCCGCCGACTCTAATTTTTGTGAAAATGTAAAAAATAAATAAATCAGATTTCCATTTTGTTTCCCCCGCCAATAGCGGCGTAGTCATTTATTTTATTTGTTATCATCACCTTTTGATAAAAAACATGAATTCACTGTGGTAAACTAGTAAAGAGATACATAATTGATCTTTGTTGATCTCGAAGCCTAACATGAATAGCCTCCCTTGACAATTGTCCATGTTGTAAGTGGTAGAATTTTTATTGTTACAAGGGGCTTTATCGTCACAAATGGCGGTCTTTTGAACACAGAATATGTTCATAAAGTATGCCAGAGGCATTCTGAATTTAAAAAAATGCATCTGGCTTTTTTTTTCCCTCCTCCAACCTTGGACTTTGGGCTGAAAATTCCGTAATCCTAAAAATAAAAAAATAAAAAGCCTGGCCTGAGTCATGTTCTCCATAACAGGGGCGGTCGGGTAGCCTAGTGGTTAAAGCGTTCGCTCGTCACGCCGAAGACCCAGGTTCGATTCCCGACATGGGTACAATGTGTGAAGCCCATTTCTGGTGTCCCCTGCCGTGATATTGCTGGAATATTGCTAAAAGTGGCGTAAAACCATACTCACTCACTCACTCTACATAACAAAGTCCTTGCTTGTATTCAAACAAACTAACAGTGACTCAAGCATACAAACAGCACCTGCTGCAGCTTCAGGCCTAATGAATACTAAACCAAAATATTAAGGGATGGGTATTGGAGGTTTAAAGTGTATCACAATATTTTGCAATGCACAAGGCGGTATTTCGATACGTATCACGATATATTGTATAATCATAAATTTTGAATTCAGCAGTAATCTGATACATTATGGTATAAATTAACGTTCATAAATGGAACAAAACAAGACGCTGGTACATCGTAATGTGTACTCAATAAATACGCGGCCATCTTGTGGCCTGGAGTGCGGCGGGGCAGTGAAGGCATTTGGCAAGAAAAAACATTTAAAAAATCTCTATTTGACATCACCCGATATATCAAGCATGAAAAAAATGATATTGTGATACGTATCGTGGAAAGGGTGAACCTCAATTTACCGATATACCGATAATACCGCACACCCTCACAAAACAGTTAGGGATCATGAATATTTGGGGGGATTTTTTTGCAGTGAAGACTGCGCATGCAATTTCATAAAAATATTCCCAAAAATACTCATGATCAATAATCTTTTCAGTATATAAAATAGTACGCACATAGTTTTACAGGATGCAAAAGTAAGAAAAGATACAAAATATCCACTGTGAACCCCATTGGATGCAAAAATAGTACGAGTATTGGAATGATTAAAACTAACAAAATTTTAAAACATGTCGGCAAGATATGTAATATTTCAGTCCTGATGAGAAATACAATCAATGTTCGGACAGAGCGGGTAAGGTTATAAAAGAAACAAGGAAATGCCCTCTTTAATACAGCCTTTGAAATTCATGTTTTTAAATATGTTAAAGGATTTGTCAAAAGTTTGTCTAAAAAGTCCTCCATCATGTCAGAGTTTGTAGCTAGTCATGCTTAAAAACAGACAAAAATGTTTAGAGTGTTTACATTTCATTTTCCATCAGATTTATTGAGTAAGAATTTGTAGCACAATTGAGGCATTGAGAACTGGTTCAGAATTATAGTCCTCAATTGTTACTAGTCAATGAGCACTACCATCATCTTCCCGGGGCAAGATACCACTGACTATAAATGTCCAGTTTCTACCCTTGCCGAACAAGGCTGGTGTTATGGAGTTACATTTTGGCTGGACTAACAAGTCCAATGGCGCAGAGAAATCGAAATCCTGTTCATAACTGTGATGTAGATTTTGGTCGATTGCAGGATTTGCAAAGCATGTGCACCGCCGACTCGTCATCAACACATATTTTGCAAATCTTTTCATGTTTTTAATCAAGGTGCTGACATGATTTGATGCACTTCGTGACGTAAGACCCATTTTAGATCTTGATTATCGATCAAATTGTCTTGACTGGGTGCTGCCATTTTGTTTGAAGCAAATGCAAGTGATACAAGAGGTGGAATCTGATTGGTCCATAGGCGAGGCATTGAAGGGACATAACTTGTAATAGCCACTGGGGGCGCTACGATCAGGTCCAGGATTTCCAGCCTAGTTTGGCAAGGGTGGAAACTGGACTTTCAAAGTCAGTTAATGCCCTTGCCTCAGGAAGATGTACCATCATTGGATTCAGAAGGCTGTAGTAAGCATAAGGCATCACACACACTTTGTATCTTATTTGCTGTTGTGCATCCCGAGACCCATCTTAGTGCATTTGACCCCCAAAACTTACAGATATGGAACCTAACATACATGAAAGGCGTACCCAGATCACTGATGCTGTCAGCCTATCTTCACAGTGTCAGGTCTGGTGCTACACTTAGTCTACACTTATGCACAGGAGCAGCTAACACAGCACTTGGCTACAGTGTATGAGCGAATGTGTTATCTATGTCAAGAAATGAAAGTCACAACTACCAGTAGTCTATGTAGGGTACGCGAGTTAGAGGGACTATGTTCAAGTATAGTAGCTACAGGCATCATTAGACTGTCTTACAGGACGGGCTATAGCGATCCCAACAAGCATGAGGTCCATACACAAGAAGAGGAGCTAGATGTCCAACTGACAGAATAGAGGCTATGGTTTTGTAAATCTGTTTATGAAATTGGAGCACAGAGACAGTGTCCAGACTAAGCACAGTCAGTGTCCAGACTAAGCACAGTGACAGTGTCTAGACTAAGCACAGTCAGTGTCTAGACTAAGCACAGTCAGTGTCCAGACAAAGCACGGTGACAGTGTCCAGACTAAGCACAGAGACAGTGTCCAGACTAAGCAGTCAGTGTCCAGACTAAGCACAGTCATTGTCCAGACTAAGCACAGTCATTGTCCAGACTAAGCACAGTCAGTGTCTAGACTAAGCACAGTCAGTGTCCAGACTAAGCACGGTGACAGTGTCCAGACTAAGCACAGTGACAGTGTCCATAATAAGCACAGTCAGTGTCCAGACTAAGCACAGTCAGTGTCTAGACTAAGCACAGTCATTGTCCAGACTAAGCACAGTCACAGTGTCCATAATAAGCACAGTCAGTGTCCAGACTAAGCAGTCAGTGTCCAGACTAAGCAGTCAGTGTCCAGACTAAGCAGTCAGTGTCCAGACTAAGCACAGTGACAGTGTCCAGACTAAGCACAGTCATTGTCCAGACTAAGCACAGTCAGTGTCCAGACTAAGCACGGTGACAGTGTCCAGACTAAGCACAGTCACAGTGTCCATAATAAGCACAGTCAGTGTCCAGACTATGCACAGGTCTACTTTTCATCTCAACATAACACATGGTACAATAACAAGCCTTGCTCGCATCATTCTAAACGTACCCCCTTAAAAGATCTCATCTACATCCAGGTAAGAAATAAAACACCCCCCCCCCCCTCGTGTGTACCCCCGTCACAGGACATGAGGACAACGCAACTGTCTGACAGCTTATATACGAACTTGTAGCATTTCCTTCATCAAATCATCCAACAAAGAAACATGAGACAGATGACACTACACACGACACGGCTGACATCAACTTCTGCTACAGACACAGTGATGAAGGAGGCAGTACAGGAGAAATGTTGACCCTCATCTCATTAATTATAATACATCATAACTCAACTACCATGACCATCAAGTCCAACAGTACAAGAGGAAAAAGGTATATTCAAATATGTCTCTTCAAGAATAAGTATCAATCTGTATGTGTCTCGTCCATGTGTACCAACATTATAATACTTCAGGGACGCCAGGGCACCTTCCACAAAGCCATGTTTTAAAAACCCAGTGCTGATGCAGCCTTAGAAGTCACTGAGGGACAGGGTCCACAGGTGTAGTGAGTTTAACAATGGTTGTGTCTCAGGTAAACCAACAGCATACACAACTCACAGAGTTGGATCACATCTGTGACCATGAAGACTAGTCATCATGACACCCTCAAGAACAGATGTATCTGGTTAAAAAATAAACTCCCCACTAGTGCTGGTTAACTGAAAAATATAACAATTGTGGCCTTAGGCTCAGTGTCAGATCCTGTCAAATCCTCTTCCTCAACAAGCTCAAAACGATCAATCCCATCTTGTCCTTGGGGCTGTGAAACAGCATGACACAACAGAAGTCGGATGTTTCTGTATTTAGCTGAAGTATATTCCAACAGAAGTTCTAACACAACTACAGAATCCAGTATGCTCCTCTATATGATCCACCACAATGACACAGGTAATTCACAGAAGTCTATTTGCCCCTATATATTCTTCAAGTAGCTCAATCAGGACCAAACACCTTAACTTTCGTACCTATTTTCTTTGAAATACTCAACAAGGACCACACAGTATAAACTCAGGTCTCAGTTTTCACCTTAGGATGATCATCAGAGCCTTCACAAGTCCAGGCCTCAGGCCCAAGTTTGTTCCTTGAGAAGCTTCACCAGTACACTGTATAAATCTTAGGTCTAAGTATGTTCCATTAACATGCTTAAGAAACCTCTCTCGGTGTACACAGTATAAAACTCAGACCCATGTATGTTCCTTGAAGAAATACAACACTCACCACTGTATGTACCTTGACCAGTTTCCCATTAACGGTACATGTCATAAGGTTGAAGCCTAACATTTTCCTTGAGAAGCTTCACCAAGACTTCACAGTCCAACTCTCATGCCCCTGTGTGTTTCTTGAACAGTTTGCCCAATACTCATTATAATTCTTAAGCCTTAGCTTCTTCCTTGAGAAGCCTCACAGTCCAACTCTCAGGCTCCTGTGTGTTCTTTGAGATGTTCAAGTAGCTGGTCCTGCTTGTGGAATACTGAGCTACAGAGGGGACAATTGAACACTGACTGGCCTTCATGAACTTTCATGTGATCATGCAGAGCCTTGAAGGATGTGAACACTGCAAGACAGTGTCGACATTCCACCTGGTGACACTCTTCACTCAGACACTCATCATGACAACCAGCAACATCAGGTCTGGCTTGGTCAGGACTCTCGATCAGAGCGGTGTGTTCTGGAAGATACTCCTCAGGTTCTTTCTTAATTGAAGGATTCCTCTGTTGCACACTATCAGCTGAAGCACTGTCTGTATGTGTCAATGCACTGCTCGTCCCTTCAGCCTGGCTCTCCTTGGAATCTTGCACAGGGTCGCTGTGGCCCTTTAGATGGTGCCCTAGAAGTTCCACAGTTGAGAACACATCACCACATATCGAACACACTTCTTCAGAGGTAGAATTATTCAAAGGAAGCAGACCTGATTTGGCTGCACCTTTCCTTTTAACTTTTGAGGTAGTTTTGCTGCTGGATGACTGGCTATCTTCAACAAGTTGTAATGCGGTTTCACACTGCGACCTCAACTTGTCTTTCTCAGAACTGGCTTCAACACTGGATTTGTCTGATTCTAAGAGTTTCAAATGATCTGCCATATGCTGCCGATATTTTCTGGTTGCAGTGAAGATGGCCCCACACACATCACACACGTTGGGTTGGACTCCAGAAGCAGCAAAACCCCTGCCTACTTCATCCTTTATGTGGGGATCACTAACAGTGGCAAGAATTGAGGAGCTTGTCCCAGCTGGAACTGAAGGGTCACTTTCGTCACTGTTTATGATTGGATCACTATCAGACACACCTGTATGGTCACTCTGATCTCCACACTGGTCAGCGTGTGTGAGAAGGTGTTCAGTAAGATCCTTCTTGTGTTGAAAGATTAACGGGCAATGGGGACAGTCGAAGGAACATGCAGTAGGACTGCCCAATCCACTTGACCTCAACTCTACTTTGTATTGTTCTTGTGTATTGGATTCATTCTCTTTCATGCCATCGCCCTGAATAGTTAGCGATGTTTCTTCAGAGTTGGCAGGACCAGGCTCCTTTTTATTATTTATTGAAGAATGAGTTCTTGTTGATGTTGGCTCCATGCAGCCTATCCTCGAGTCGTGACCGATATCACCACCTGTTAAAAGTCTCAGTATAGTTTTCCTTCCTTGTATTCCATTTGACTTCAGCCCTGTTATATCATCAGGGTTACCCCCTGCAGGCCTGGACACTGGTTTTCCACTCTCACCAGTCATCCCGAGCACAACCTCCCCATCTTCCAGATCATGTGAAAAAGACACACCATCTGATTCTGCGCTGACATCAATCCCCTCTGGGCCTTCTATTTTCGTGGGCCTCCCTCTTTTCTTAGCGAGTTCTGAAGATGCAAAGCTAGGGTGCATCTTCCTGTAATGAAGCTTCAAGATGTGCTTGTACTTGAAGCTCTCCTGGCACAGTTGGCACTGATTGGGCTTGTCCCCGGTGTGGACCAGCATGTGCCGCTCCAGCTTGGATCTCACACTGAAACCCTTACCACAGATACCACAGCTGTACTTCTTGGCGTCAGCGTGGTTCCGGAGGTGAGCCTGCAGGTGTGCCTGCATAGCAAAACCCTGGTGACAGAATGGACACTCGTAGCTACGTTCGTCTTTGTGAATTGTCATGTGATGCTGGAGATAATGCTCACTCTGGAACTCACTTCCGCAAAAGGTGCACATAAAACGTACTCTTGAAGAATTTCCTTCCTCCGTCTGTCCCGGATCTGATGACGCCATGTTTCCTGAGAGGTCATTGCTGTCTTCTATCTTGGCCTGGGCCTCTATGTTGCTCAGCTGCCTGGATATTTCTAGGCTGGGGTCCAGCATACCACTGCTGTCTGCCTGCACGTGATCCAATGATGCCTGGGTGGATAATACACCTTGATTTCCAGCAGCTTGTGAGGGGTTATCATAGGGAAATATCAGCTTGCCACTCATAAAACTGCTCACTGCACCAGGCGCTACAATAAGTTTTTTCGACTTCTTTTTCGACTTCTTTTTCTTTTTCCCTTTCGATAGTTCGTAAGTATCAATTTCAACCTTTTTCAGCAAGGATGTATCAAAGTAAGCGTGGTTCTTCTGACAGTGTGACTTCAGCTGCTCAAGGTAAGAGAATCCGTCGTCACAGAGAGTGCAAGGGTAGGGCTTGTCACCACTATGGCGCAGCATGTGTCGGTTCCGGGAACTGCTGGTGGTGAATCTTCGACCACACGTTGGACATGCATGGTTCTTCTCCCCAGTATGTGTTCGAACATGCTTGTACAAGTTTTGAGAAACTGTGAAACCCCTGCCACAGAACTGACAAACAAAAGGCTTCTCCCCAGAATGTGATCGCATATGTATTATCAGGTAGGACTCTCGTGACAAAACCCGTCCACAAATCTTACATTCACAACCATCAAGAATAATACCTCCAGGAGGGTCTGGTGCATTGGACGACTGGGGCTTGTCTTTGGTTACTGAAGGATCGGGATTGTCAGAGGACTGACCACTTTGTTCCACAGCTACCTGGTCTCCTTTCAAGGAGGACACATCTGCCCCACTCCCACTTTGATCCTCGACCTTGGTCACGCTAGTGACATCATCTCCCACCTCCAGCATCTCCTGTGATTCCCCTGCAGGAGACAGGGCTCTACTCCTCCTCGTAGTGTCAGAACAAGAGTCATCCCTTTCTGCTGTCACAGACTCCTGGAGGAAGGTCTCGGGAAGAGAGGCATCAATCTGGATGCTGTGATCACCAGATTGTGATGAAGAACTGTTACTTGAGGGATTCAGGGATGACAGCTCCAGAGATGACTTGAGGGTATTCTCTTCACTAAATGCTTCAGAATCAGGCAAATCTGGGGTACTCACTTTAACAAAATGGGTTTGTTTTCTCATTGTTTTTCTGGCAGTTCCAGGTTTCTTGGTCACAACTTTACTACCTGAGCCACCAGGAGATGCACTGTGAGATGCGTTCTTCACAACACTCAGTAACTTGTGCATCTTCTGATGCCGTGTCAGCTGGGATTTATTGTCAAAAGTTTTCGGACACTTGCTGCATCGAAGCTGTTCTACTCTGTTCTTCCCCTGTTGCAGCAGGGCAGGCCCCTCGGGTCTACTGATGCTGACGGCATCAGTGTTCTGCAACTCAAGGGGCATCAGCTTGTAGGGGGACGTGTCTTCAAACGCCATGTCACCATCCTCCTCAGTCAGACTGGACATGTCAGCCTGTTCCTCAGACCCAATACACTGTGTACTGGCCGCAGCAGTGTTGTAGGCGAAGCCGGAGAGGTTGGCCATCTTGCCCTTCGGACCTGTGCCGTCCAAACCACTTTCCTTCTTAAGAACTACGTTTCCACTTAGTTGAACAGCAGAGGACAGCTTCTGGACTGTGTCATCACATTTGGATGAGACCGTCTTTGGATTCAAACGGATGGCATCAGTGCTACTTTTTTGAGTGCTTGATGCACCTGGTGAGTTAGAACTACTCTGCTCTGTCTTCATCCTCTTTCCCGGAGGCAGAGACACAACCTCCTCTTCATCAAGCCCATGAGTCTTCATCATGTGAGCCTTGTACATTTCACGGTAGCGGAAATTTTGGTCGCAGTCCTCGCACCGATATGGCATCTCCCCAGTGTGGAGCCTCTCATGTCGATTCCGAGATGTACTGTCCCGAAACATCTGCCCGCAGTAGCTACAACCGTAATTCTTCACCCCCGAATGTGTTCGCATGTGCTTGTACAGGTTCCCCCGTACACTGAAGCTAAGGCTACACTGCTTGCACGCGAATGGCTTCTCTCCTGTATGTGTCCTCTTGTGCAACTTCAGATAATTCCGACTTTTCACAGACTTTCCACACTCATCACAGGTGAATCGTTCCTGCTTTTCCTTCAAGTCTTTCCTTGCTTCTGTGACTGTAAGCTGGCTGCTCGGGTGGACGCTTGTTATTTGAGTAATTAAATTAGGACTTCCTCTTGCAGTGACGCTGTCCACTACAGTGCCGTTGATGATGGGGTCGCAGACACCAGCGTTTGTGTACAAGCCGTAAAGGGAGACCTGGTATGTGGCGATGGCAGCCTGGTGGTACGCTGCTGCCTTACCGGCGTCGATCATACTAACATCGAGATGTGTCTGGATGGTCTACGCTCATGCTCCGAACTGATCACTGAAGGTGTGCATGTGCTTGTCTGGTGATTGGCATAATGGATGGCTGGGTTGGAAATGTTCGAGCAGGTCACTGATGGAACGAAGGTTCTCGACAGGTGTTGAGACCAACAATATTGTCTTGTGGTTCTGATGCAGCCCTCCTGGTTCAGAACCTGCTGCTGGGTGGGGGCTGAATCTCCCTATCTGTCACTCGGTCTGGAATGGAAGAAAGAAACATTGATGAAACAGTACACATGTGTTCAGCAATCAACCATTTATTATTCTGGTTGGTTTGTTGGTTGCTTAACGCCGCACTCAGCAATATTCCAGCTATATGACGGCGGTCTGTAAATAATCGAGTCTGGACCAGACAATAAGCATGGATCCAAGCAATTTGGATTGATGACATGCATCAACCAAGTCAGCGAGCCTGACCAGTTAGCATAAGCATGGATCCAAGCAATTTGGATTGATGACATGCATCAACCAAGTCAGCGAGCCTGACCACCCAATCCCGTAAGTCGCCTCTTACGCAGGCATGGGTTGCTGAAGACCTATTCTACCCCGGATCTTCATGGGCCTATTATTTTGGAGGGGAAGGAGGGCGCTGGTATTTATTTTCGAGCGAAATATGTTGCTGACAAACAATGGATCATAAAAATGATGAATGTCAGATTCAAACCCACAATCAGTGAATCCGGCAAAGTTAATGGATGCAACTCTGCAGGGACAATAGGCCATCCGAGTCCCACCAATATACTGATGAAATATCTAAGATACTTTATAAAAGAAATCAAGAATTTTTTAAGAAAGAAAGGACAATAATTGTGCACACATTTCACTCAATCATTCACACTTTCATTCAATCATTCATACTTTCACTCAATCATTCACACTTTCATTCAATCATTCATACTTTCACTCAATCATTCACACTTTCATTCAATCACTCACGTAATATAATAGGCATTGTTTTGGTTTAGGTGCAAGCACTGTACATGTCGACTAAGTGTCAATGTTAAGACATGAGTGTGTGAGTGAGTGACTTTGGTTTAACATGTTTAACGCTGCTTTTAACAGTATTCCAATTATATCACGGCGTGTCAGCTTAATGTGGGAGGAAAGCCCGAAGTGATGCAGGTCTCAGACATTTACCACTTCGGTGAAACCCATGAGCACGGGTATGGTGCTGACAAACCTAGAAACATAATCGGGGCGAACCGGGATTCGAACCCACAATCATAGGTTTCTGGTGAGGCCAAGGGACGCAACTCTGCACAGCGAATCGCGGCGTCTTAGACGACTTGGCCCCCCGTGCCCCCGTTGAGACATAAAGGGTATTACCGTATTCGCCATATTAAGCACCCTCTGAGCAACTTCTAGACCAGTACTTAAGTTATCTTTATATGCACCTGATAAAAAGACAGAAAATTTACATAACAGTCTGTTTTCTTGCATATATTAGAATCTTTTTTTAAACATAATAGTCTAGTAACTATGTTTATAGAATTCTATTTTAATTTCATCAATGTTTTTGACTAAGCTTGTTGATCATGTTGATACTGCTAGATCTCAACGACAAATTTAAATTGCTGTATATGGTTTTAATAAGACTTCCCCAAGTCAATTTTCTAAGTGCTTCTTTTGTTCAATGATAAAATCCCATGACAAAATAAAGTATTTAGATATATATCTTAATTCATATTTTTATTTCAGCCAGGGTACCTCAGAGACCAGAATGGATTTATGTACATGAAGCAGAGTGTTACAGAAAAGTAACTAACTTGTAAATTTTGGTCAAATGAAACATGTATCTTTTGAACAATTATGGTCCATTTTAAAATGTACCATATTCGCTGTAACATGTTTCAGTTTCAATATTCTACAACATGCTTTTGTTTGTTGTTTGATGCTGCAATCAGTGAGTGAGTGAGTGAGTGAGTGAGTGAGTGAGTGAGTGAGTGAGTGAGTGTGTGAGTGAGTGAGTATGGTTTTACACCGCTTTTAGCAATATACCAGCAATATCACGGTGGGGGACACCAGAAATGGGCTTCACACATTGTACCCATGTCGGGAATCGAACCCGGGTCTTCGGCGTGACGAGCGAACGCTTTAACCACTTGGCTACCCGACCGCCCGATGCTGCATTCAGCAATATTCCAGCTATATGACGGCAGCCAGTAAATAAATGTCTGGACCAGACAATCCAATGACTGATTTTGTGCTCAATCCATGCTGTTGATGTGGGATGACACGTTGTCAACCAAGCCACGAGCCTGACCACTAGGGCTGCAACGAATACACTATGAGGCGAATACGATTTGTATCATGAATATAGGGTAACCAATATGAATATTAATTCACGAATACAATAACAAGTCAGCAGTTGATGTATTATTTGTCATATTCAGCATGTTCAGTGAGGCAACAACAACATGAATTATTTGACATGGTTTGTTAAGTTTTAATATATTATTAAATATATTATTCATTTTTATACTGCATTTATCCAGGTACTAGTATCTGCTCAAATGCAACAATGACCAGAGACCACAATACTGTCAAATTAAATAGTATAAGAGTTGTCTTTTGAAGAAATCTATGCATAAAATATGTTCTTACGGTGTGTTTTTTATGTAAATGCATATGCTTGCATATTCATAAATATTGGATTCTAGTGGCCAGGAATAATGAATTCAATTCATGAATGGATACGGTTCGATTCACCGAATACGCGAGTGAATCGTAACAGCCCTACTGACCACCCGATCCATTTGCTCGCCTCAAACGACCAGCATAGGTTGTTTGGGAAAGTGTAGTTTCAGTTTTCTGTTTAAGAATCAATATTCTAACATATAGTGACACTAACTGTTTTAACTTTATTAATATTCAGTACAATACTACCTGGTACTCGTGTCAACTTCCTGTCATTACAGCAATGAGGAAATAAATGCTGCTTACTCCAGATCAATATCACACTAACAGTCCTGGGCCCACTTGCACAAAGGGATCTTAGCGCTAAGATGATCGTAACTCCCAGACTTTAGCATCGTCTTACAATAGTCTTAGCACTAAGATCGCTTTGTGCAAGTGGGTCCTGGATGCCGTTGTACAAAACAACCTTATCGCTACCACTGTCGTAAGTCTATGTTAAGGTATGGGAGTTACGATCACCTTAGCGCTAAGATCGCTTTGTACAACGGCGCCCTGGACTTTAAACATGACACTCAAGATGTCAATGCCGTTGCTCTCAGCATTAGATGCTAACAGTTATAGTCCACTAGTCCTTTAAAAGGGCAAATATCTACATGATCTACTAGTCCTTATCTCTTGGGCAGTTTGGCAAGGACTATAGGACTAGTGCGAATTCGTAACACTGGTTCTCATGTTAATGGATTGAGGGGTACCAAGATTCCAAGACCATAGGGGGAAGATCTATATTATAAAGTACATGCAGACAAAATGGCAGGGATATCAAAGCAGATGAAACAGTTTCTTCACCCTGGTTTTGGAATTTGGAAATATGAAAAGTAGGCAGGACCTGTATTTTTCACAAACTCAGCAGAAACCCTGGTAAGTACAGGGTTAACATTCCTTGTGTTGGACATGTTAGAGGGCCAAGGGGATGGTTAGAATCAGAATGCAGAGCTTTAGACAAACTGATTCCCCATCATGAGTGAATGAGTATGGTCTTACGCCGCTTTATACAATATTCCAGCAATATCACGGCGGGGGACAACAGAAATGGGCTTCACACATTGTACCCATGTTGGGAATCGAACCCGGGTCTTCGGCGTGATGAGCGAACGCTTTAACCACTAGGCTACCTGACCGCCCCGATTCTCCATCATGACAACGACGCAAATAATTTTCAAAAACTCAAAAGAACACTTCTTTGTAATTACCCAATGTAGCCTTTTCAACTCGACAGATCTCTGTATACTGAGTGAATGCAGGCACCACAAACAGACCAGCTCTGTTGCAGTGAATAATGCATTGAAAATAATACATTCTATTCTTGGAGTACAGTTTATACTCATCAACAATTATACAACCCGACCCAGAGGAAGAGTGAGTGAGCTAGTTGGGTTAAACGCCGCTTTTAACAGTATTCCAGTTATATCACGGCGTGTCAGATTAATGAGGGAGGAAAGCCCGAAGTGATGCAGGTCTCAGGCGTTTACCACTTCGGTGAAACCCACGAGCACAGGTATGGTGCTGACAAACCTAGAAACATAATCGGGGCGAACCGGGATTCGAACCCACAATCATAGGTTTCGGCGTGCCCAAGGGACGCAACTCTGCACAGCGAATCGCGGCTGGGCCATCTGTGCCCCCCCAGAGGAAGAAAGCAAATATGAAAGTCCAGGGATCCTTGAGGTTTAAAGTTAAAGATTTAGGGGTCCCAAGAATCAACAACCATAGGAGGACATCCTTAATAACATTTCCACCACTGCGGACTCACCTGTTACCATGGTAACAGGTACAGAGCTCCAGATAACATTTTGAGCAATTGAGTTTTTACTCTAGGGTTTCTATTTTAATTGGGTTATTACATTTTTCAATGGGTAACCAATATTTTTTTCACACATCTATTCATCACACTATTGGTTTTTCCCAAAAATTAGTGAACACTTTTAGATTTAAAATGAAATAATGTTTTAGATGTATATAACAGTCCTAAATATATAGGCTTGATTCAGAAAGTAAATTAGCTCGTAATTGTGTTTTGGAAATAAGCTCCTTTGTGCGCATGCTGAAAAAGCTTCATTGGGTATTTACACATGCTGGGTTTTTTTATACAGTGGTATTTTTCATTTAATGCATGCGTGTCTGTACGCAAGTTAATTGAAAGTAATTGGGTTTTGTATATTTGGGGGGGGGGGGTATTTTACACAAATAGGCAGCTTATCTATAGAGGTGGCGACTTTGTGTGCGAAAAATCAACTATTTTTACCAGCACATACTCTTTCCAAACTGTCATTAAAACAAAGAATATACAATTTATAATCAGTCAGGAGACAACAATCTACAGACTGTTCTATCATGTCTATGGCAATGTAACTTATTGTTAAACAATGATCGAAACTGTATTGCCATTGTTGAGATTCAGTAGAAGTTCATTGCATTGTATCTGGACGATGATTAGTTGTCAGGAATGTAGTACAGACAAACAATATTTACTCCTGGGTAGTATTCCAACTACAAAATATCCAAAGTCATTAGGTAAGAACCAACTGAGCAAAGTGAAACCTTATGTCAAGGCACAAGAAACCAGGGAAATTGAACAAAGGGAGGTAACTCCCCTTAGTTGTCTTGACGTTTGAGGCTGGAGGCAAATTTCCAAACCAATTCAGAAATGATTGGCTATTGCATGTGTGTTGCTATGATTCGTTATGAGTAGTATCCGTTCTCTGATAATTTATTTGGTGAATAACAGTTTATATACTACTGTTGGCTAAGATGCTGGAAGAATGTCAATGTCATCAGAACCATACTGCTGTCTCCATCACTTGCGAGTTGGAAAGATAAGCACTTGATTTGATGCTATTGTTACTCATAGTAACGCTTTAATGACCATGATAACCTTTTGAGAAAATCTTCAGCTCTGGGCATGAGACCTACTGTATCCTCCTGTTACCATGGTTACTGAGCATGTAAGAGATTTACATCCATCCCAAAATCATGTCAATATGGTTTGGAAATTTGCCTTCAGTCTCAAACGTCACGTTTGGTGTAAATGGACTTAAATGACATACTTCCTGGGATCTCTATGAGGAACTGGATATTTTTTTATTCAGTCGGGACAAGGCAAGCATAACAATTTAGACGAATTTCAGGATTATAGTTTCTTTAGGCAATTCAACAGAGTTGTGTTTAACCTTACTGTCCTGTGAGGATGATCAGTGCAAGCTTTCAACTTATACAACTGTAATCCAGCGTTCGAAATACCTGCCTGCCCGACCGTCCGAGACGGGTTGATTTCAACTCGGGCTGTCAGATTTTCAAATCCCCCTGCCCGACGGTCGGGTTATATTTCATATGTGACAATATTCTAAATATTTCCCGATGATAATCATTAATTCACATGTAAAGATGAATGATAAAATGTAACCAAAAAGAAACCCCGTTAGCTTTTAGACAACCTAACATTTAGCGATGCGCTTATGCTACTAGCAATCGGTTTTCATATTTTTATTTAAATTATCCTGAGAAACATATGATTATAGTGGGTAGGCAGGTTTTGGTCAGGGCTGGCAAGTATTTCAGCTAGCCAGTCCTGTGGTCTGGCTGAAAATTTTGGGAGTTTCATACCCTGTGTAACCACTAATTATTTTGTTTGTTGTTTAACGCTGCACTCAGCAATATTCCAGCGGTCTCTAATTAATCGGGTCAGACATTTAGCAGGTGAATCACAACCCTGAACATTTATGTTAAATGTCAAGATTGAAGATGATGGTACTGATGGCCAGAAACTGATAAGCTAGAGGGCACTGAATATGATGCTATTTATAGCCAACCGGGAAATACTAAATAAACTGTGTAAGCTGAACTTGTAATGTAATGTATTGCATGTATCGGTGAGGTGAAATTGGGTTAACGTCGCGTCCAAGATTATTGCACTTATATAGCGACGTGCATGCACATGTGTGTGTGTGTGGCTGCTTGTACTAGTCCGGACTGATGCCGATTTATAGTGCTAGCTCACTGAGATACCATGCCGCAGTTTAACATGAATACCCCACTCAGACACAGTATACTGACTCCGAGCCGACCAGTCCTTGTTTTAGCCCCTTAATGTCGAGCGCCAGACAGGGTAACAACAAGTACCATCTTTTAACGTCTTTTGGTATGACGGGGCCGGGGATCGAACACCGGACCTTCCGCTCTCCGGGCGGACGCTCTACCACAAGACCACGGAGGCGGCATTGTAAATTGATGTATTGTAGTGCGGGATTTGCATCTGTATCAATGTATCGTCACACCACAACTTGGAGCCGTACCACACTTACACCGTTTTTATACTTTGGGCTAAGAGAGTTGATGTGATTGGTTGGTTGGTTTGTTGTTTAACGCCGCACTCAGCAATATTCCAGCTATATGACGGCGGTCTGTAAATAATCGAGTCTGGCCCAGACAATCCAGTGATTGTCATCATGAACATCGATCCCCGCAATTGGAATCGATGACATTCAGCGAGCCTGACCACCCGATCCCGTTAGTCGCCTTTTACGACAAGCATAGTCGCCTTTTATGACAAGCATTGGTTGTTGAAGACCTATTCTACCCCGGATCTTCACGGGTCGAGTTGATGGGAGAATTTGTATTATCAAGTTGATGAACAAAGATCAACAACTGTCTAATAGTCATGGAGGAATTTATTGAATATTTGGTTAAACAATCGACCTGGACATTGAAAATGACGGTTGATAATCAGCCAGCCGTGAGTGGGGTTCACACAACAGCTGTTATCAATTATGTGTCAATCAGCCACTCGTTAGCTTTCATTGTGTGTTACCAACTGTTACCATATGTTGTTCGAATAATATGAAATTAAAGTAATTATGTTCATGAGAAATAAACTTTTTATAATGAAACGGATTACGATTTGTTTGTTTGTTGTTTGCACCTACCGTATTCGACGTAATAAGCGCCCCGCTCTAATAAGCGCCCACGGCGATATTTGGTTATATATTGGCTAGAGAAGAATCCCAATTAGCACCCCTTCCGATTGATCAATGTAAACAAGACTTATTTATTTGCGTATAATACGCACTCGTGTGTTATATGCACTGTTAATTATGGGGAATTAAATTCTGGAAAAATATATCTGTCGTATACGGTATATGACATCAATATGTAGATAATCAAGTTTGGGCCAGACAATCCAGTGATTGACATCATCATGGACATCATCCGGACCGATCTACAGGGATGCGAATGGATAGTTTCCTTTTCAGCTGAAACTTTTTGCAATGAAGTGTGGTTCATAATTTGGGGGTGTTTATCATGTTTATGGGGGAAGCCATCAGATTTTAACAAATTTGTGGTCTCTTAAATTCGCAGATCCGTGGAAGATTATCCAGCGATAGAAACTAACAGATTTAGTCCACAAGTCCTTATAATGATAATATATAGCAAAACACTTAAAAAGGGTAAAATTTCTACTAGTCCTTATGATACCTTAACTATTGGGTAGTTTGGCAAGGACTACAGGACTAGTGCCAATTTCTTACGCTGTTATCCCCCCTGGAACTACACAGATAAGATACAATGACACGCATTAACAAAGTCAGTGACCACCGATCCCGCTAGCCGCCTCTTACTACAAGCATAGGTTGCCCACAACCAATTCTAACCCGGATCTTCACGAGTCAATTACAAATTAATTTAGAGCTCCAGTTGTTGATATGAACATTCAGTTTGACAACAAGCACGGCTGTTTAATGTCCTGTTTTTATTAGAACAGTATGGGATCTTTAATGCATCATAAATTTCCTTTCATTTTTGACCATCCTTGTATCAATTCATGACTTAATTCTGAAGTGAAGTCAAAAAAGCTGATGTGAAAAAGCTTATATAGCGACATGCATGCATGTGTGTGTTCGTGTGTGGCTGCTTGTAGTTGTCCGGACTGATGCCGATTTATAGTGCTAGACCACTGAGATATGATGCCACAGTTTAACATGAATACCCCACTCAGACACAGTATACTGACTCTGAGCCGACCAGTCCTTGTTTTAGCCCCTTAATGCCGAGCGCCAGACAGGGTAACAACAAGTACCATCTTTTAACGTCTTTTGGTATGACGGGCTGGGGATCGAACCCCGGACCTTCCGCTCTCCGGGCGGACGCTCTACCATTAGACCATGGAGGCGATCTCAAAGGGTCCATATGAAATGTAGTCACAGGCTCTGGTGACAATGGCAATCAGGGCCCCATGATCACCTGAAATAATTTGTCTAATCAATTAGCCTCTAATTACTTTGTTACTGAAGAACAAACAAACATTGTTATTGCAGAACAAACAAACAAGATATTGCTTATTGCACATGGGTGGAGGCTGGCTCTTATTACCTCATATTTATATAAACAACGCTATAAGTAATCAGCTGTATCCACCTTGATAATGATTACCCGGTGTACTTTGAATTTCGAATTAGTGTTTGATTATCCTTAATAAACATAAAATACAAAGATGCAACAAACGCTTTGCATGTCTGTGTGGCTTATTGTCAAAACATAACTGAATCTCAATAGATGGTTAGATTCCTAAACATATACAGTTACCATGAAGGCGGACTGTACCTATTTCAGGATATATAAATGTATATATACCCTCCGACCTCGCTCCTGTCTCGCCAATGGTTTCTCGAAGTCGTTTCGCTTCAGTGCTTTTCGCCACCTTGTCGTGCAAATATATGTCAATTTGATACGAGGGTTTATACTGAGAATTGTTTGTTAATACACACCGCGCATATCAAGTGGAAGTCGCGCTTCTGACTTGCTTTCAAGTGTAAAATCTCATGTGTAGGCCTCTCGCTTTGTTTTCACATTTCTCTACCGGAAGTCACCACTCCAAGGGAGGTAACTCAATCCGGAAAACGATTTAATGAAAGCATTTTAATACACTTCGAATGGTCGAGAAAAATGGAATGGGTGCGAGTTTCCGTTGCTGGTCAATGTTGTTTGATACAAAGATGTAATTTTACCAAAATGTCAAAGGTCCAGGCGTGATATACGCACCCCACCTTTTTATTTCGAAAAAAATCTTTATTTCTGTATAAATTACCACCAAAGACAATAAATAGATCTTAATTGTGCACACACACACACACACACACACACACACACACACACACACACACACACACACCTTTTAAAAAAAGCTGTATCCGCCCATGTTATGCCATTGTCACCTTCCTCGATTATCAACGAAAAGATCGAGGTTGTAAATTTACTTCTTATAATTCATTATTTAGCCAGACACATTGCTTGAAAATGATAATTTCTCACTGTGAAATTACAGAAAGTTATTCTCCCCCATTTAGATAATCATTTTATTTTCTTGTCAAACAACATGTTCATCTTAGCAACTGACCAATGCGACGCAGAGAGGTGGCCTATCGGAATGAAAGATTTGATTTGAATGAAATGGAGTCAGTTGTCAAAATACATCGTAAAAGGCATTATGCTTCATATTTTTAGATTCTACAGGGCAATCTATATTATGTGATATAGTGTAGAGGCGTTTTAGTCAAAGCTTTATTAAACGACCTCTGAAATTAGAGTACGTCGAATATATTGTTATTTTCGACATTTGTCTAAATCACAATTCCCATTTCATGTGGTACTGAAATCCATTGAGCTACTTATCCCGTGCTAGTCGCTCTGACAAGTGACTTTGTTTACTTCGTGACTTGGGAAATCATACAAAATTCATTGTGTAATTAGATGTAAAATGATTAGAAAAAAAAAAAAAATTAATTTTATTTTCAATTCAAAATGCTTTAAGAAATTTAATCGCTTTGTTAATGAGCGGACCTGTTTGGACATCCGAATTTCCATCCACACCTCAATGATTAGAAAAATGTGCTCAATCCACAAATATAAACGAATTCGCCCTTTTTCCAATATCATTTGTTTGTATATTTCATTCATCTTCAAATCACATGGAATTATACTGTTAACGCTTTAACAATATATCTTTCATAAGAGTTGTTTAAAGATATGGTATACACTATACGTTATTGGCCACAGACGTTTTTCGCGAATAACAGCTTTTAACTAACAAGGCTTAGCTTGCATGTGCTTCATGCATCCCTTGTGATTGAAGGTTCACGCTAAGTATACATTTGGTGTGATTAATTATTGTACTCGCAAAATTAAAGGATTCTAATTACCCAAAGGATCCCGGTTCACCCTGATTATGTTTCTAGGTTTGTCAGCACCATACCCGTGTATGGGGGTTAAAACCAAGTGGTAAACGTCTGAGGCCTGCATCACTTACGGCTTTCCTCCCACATGAAGCGACCCGAGAAGATCCGGGGTAGAACAGGTCTTCAGCAACCCACGCTTGCCGTAAAAGGTGACTATGCTTGTCGTAAGAGGCGACTAACGGGATCGGGTGGTCAGGCTCGCTGACTTGGTTGATGCATGTCATCGATCCTAATTGCGTGGATCGATGTTCATGATATTAATCACTGGATTGTCCCACATGAAGCCGACACAGCGTGATGCAACTGGACTACTGTTCCAAGCGGCAAAAATAACTCAACTGCACTCCCTACTGAGTTTCAAATTGCACGGTGTAGCTAGTTTGTTTGTTTGTTTGTTTGTTTGTTTGTTTGTTTGTTGTTTAACGCCGCACTCAGCAATATTCCAGCTATATGACGGCGGTCTGTAAATAATCGAGTCTGGACCAGACAATCCAGTGATTGACATTATGAGCATCGATCTACGTAATTTGGATACGATAACATGCATCAACCAAGTCAGCGAGGGTGACCGTGTAAAACTGTTATGTAAATATTTTCATCGCATCGTTCATGACTTGGAGTAAAACTAAACGCGGCTTAAACGTATGTGTTGAGCTAAGAAACATTTGGACGCCTTTTACATCTGTCTGCTTTTCAGAAGTTTATTTTTAAAATTAAACCTGCACAGTGAAATAGTAAATTCAGTAAGCTACATCTCTACGTAATTTCATTCCACCCCTGCCGAATAAGTATCCGGGGGCACGGGGGGCCCAGTCGTCTAAGGCGCCGCGATTCGCTATGCAGAGTTGCGTCCCTTTGACTCGCCAGAAACCTATGATTGTGGGTTCGAATCCCGGTTCGCCCCGATTATGTTTCTAGGTTTGTCAGCACCATACCCGTGCTCGTGGGTTTCCCCGAAGTGGTAAACGTCCGAGACCTGCATCACTTCGGGCTTTCCTCCCACACTAAGCTGACACGCTGCGATATAACTGGAATACTGTTAAAAGCGGCGTTAAACCCAACTCACTCACCCACTCACAATTCCTGGACTCGTGGCTTAACCCTTGAAAGGGGACGTTACGATTTTGGAGGCTATCGCGACTGTAACTGTGATAAAGGCGCATTTACTGAAAAATTCCCAAACTAGAAATTGCGTGACAGTTTTATTAAACTCAGGCAAGTAGAATAAAAATGATTCAATATGAACAAAGTAAGAGCGACGGTATATACAGTGTGTGGATGTATCGGCAATGTATACAAGGTATGTTTATGTATTTGTAAGTGTAAACATCTACACATGCACACAGCGTGAATGCGTTGTCCTCAGCTGGCCTTGTATGCCGGGTCAAGGAGGAGTGAGTGAGTGAGTGAGTATGGTTTTACGCCACTTTTAGCAATATTCCAGCAACATCAGGGCGGGGGACACCAGAAAGGGGCTTCACATTGTACCCATGTCGGCATTCGAACCCGGGTCTTTTGCGTGACGAGCGAACGCTTTAACCACTAGGCTACCCGACCGCCCCGGGACAAGGAGGACATACTTCCGGCACATAACGATTTTCTTGATGATGAAAATGCATGAAGCCTTTTTTCTGTTGTCCACCGCAGTGATATTGCTGGAATATTGAGTAGAACGTCGTAAGACCTCACTCACCAATTCATTCACTCACCCATCCAACTCCCCCCACCCACCCATCCAACTCCCTCCATCCACCCATCCATCGAACGCCCGAACAAACACCAAAACCCACTCACTCAGTCACTCACCCATTCACTCACTCACTCACTCATTCGAACAACCCGTCACATGTATTTACAAGGGGATTTTACCTCTATTTAGTTTCCCACCATCCCGCCAGGTAAGCAGGGGTATATGACAGTTACTGGCAGTTAGTAACAGATATTAATAATAATAAAAACAAGTCATACATTTCACAAGACAAAGGGTGTCCCTCACAGCAAACAGAACGGACGCCTCTCTGACAATGTCCTCACGCCAAACAATGGGCATCACTCTGACAGTGTTCTCACACCAAACAATGGACGTCTCCCATAAATGTCCTGTAACGAAACAAAGGACGCATCCCTGACAATGTCCTCACAGCATACACAACGGATGTGTGTCTGACAATGTCATCACACCAAACACAACGGGCGTGTATCTGACAATTGTCTATCTGACAATGTCCTTACACCAAACACAACGGTCGTCTCCCTGACAATGTCCTTACACCAAACACAACGGACGTCTCCCTGACAATGTCCTTACACCAAACACAACGGACGTCTCTCTGACAATGTCCTTACACCAAACACAACGGACGTCTCCCTGACAATGTCCTTACACAAAACACAACGGTCGTCTCCCTGACAATGTCCTTACACCAAACACAACGGACGTCTCCCTGACAATGTCCTTACACCAAACACAACGGACGTCTCCCTGACAATGTCCTTACACCAAACACAATAGGTTCGTCACTCCTAACTGTGTGAGTTCCGTCTGTATGTGATAGTCATTGTGTCAAACATTAAGCTTCACTGCAGTCCGTGCCATCCACGAGGTACTCCCCATGTCGTCTCTCTAAAGAAAAATAAATATCAATGCAAATTATAAGATCAAGTATAGGTTACGATATTTAAAATGCAAAGGACACGCCGCTTCCACCGCGGTAGACGCATAATGTTTTTTATAAGAAAACAAAATGAGGCAAGTAAGTTATAGAACCAGTCATAAAATCCTCCACTATCCGTTAATTTATAAACATTATGATCAGTTTGTTTCTGATTGACCTGCACTAAAAACGGAATAAAAACGATGCTCTGGCTGAAGTGTTCCCCACCTTGTAAAACCCCACGTGTCACAGTGTTCCCCATCTTGTAAAACTCCACGTTTTACAGTGTTCCTCATCTTGTAAAACCGCACGTGTCACAGTGTTCCCCATCTTGTAAAACTCCACGTTTCACAGTGTTCCTCATCTTGTAAAACCCCACGTGTCATAGTGTTCCCCATCTTGTAAAACCGCACGTGTCACAAGGGGCCCTACCTTGTAAAACTCTACGTGTCACATTATTCAGCACTCTGTAAAACCCCACGTGTCACAGTGGTCCCCAGCCTATAAAACCCCACGTGTCAAAAAGTTCCCCATCTTGTAAAACTCCACGTGTCACAAAGTTCCCCATCTTGTAAAACCGCACGTGTCACAGGGGGCCCTACCTTGTAAAACTCTACGTGTCACATTATTCAGCACTATGTAAAACCCCACCTGTCACAGTGGTCCCCAGCCTATAAAACCCCACGTGTCAAAAAGTTCCCCATCTTGTAAAACTCCACGTGTCACAGTGTATCCCACCTTGTAAAACTCCACGTGTCACAGTGTTCCCCATCTTGTAAAACTCCACGTGTCACAGGGGCCCCTACCTTGTAAAACTCCACGTGTGACAGTGTTCCCCACCTTGTAAAACCCCAAGTGTCACATGGGACCCTACCTTGTAAAACATCACGTGTCACAGTTTTCCCTATCTTGTAAAACCCAACATATTTCAATGGTCCCTACTTTGTTAAACCTGACGTGTTGCAATGTTCCCCACCTTGAACAGCCCCATGCATCGCAGTGTTCCCCACCTTGTAAAACCTCACCTGTCGCAGTGTTCCCCACTTTGTAAAACCTCACCTGTCACAGTGTTCCCCACCTTGTAAAACCTCACCTGTCACAGTGTTCCCCACCTTGTAAAACCTCACCTGTCGCAGTGTTCCCCACCTTGTAAAACCTCACCTGTCGCAGTATCTCCCACCTTGTAAAACCTCACCTGTCGCAGTGTATCCCACCTTGTAAAACTCCACGTGTCACAGTGTTCCCCATCTTGTAAAACTCCACGTGTCACAGGGGACCCTACCTTGTAAAACTCCACGTGTGACAGTGTTCCCCACCTTGTAAAACCCCAAGTGTCTCATGGGACCCTACCTTGTAAAACATCATGTGTCACAGTTTTCCCTATCTTGTAAAACCCAACATATTTCAATGGTCCCTACTTTGTTAAACCTGACGTGTTGCAATGTTCCCCACCTTGAACAGCCCCATGCATCGCAGTGTTCCCCACCTTGTAAAACCTCACCTGTCGCAGTGTTCCCCACTTTGTAAAACCTCACCTGTCACAGTGTTCCCCACCTTGTAAAACCTCACCTGTCACAGTGTTCCCCACCTTGTAAAACCTCACCTGTCGCAGTGTTCCCCACCTTGTAAAACCTCACCTGTCGCAGTATCTCCCACCTTGTAAAACCTCACCTGTCACAGTGTTCCCCACTTTGTAAAACCTCACCTGTCACAGTGTTCCCCACCTTGTAAAACCTCACCTGTCGCAGTATCTCCCACCTTGTAAAACCTCACCTGTCACAGTGTTCCCCACCTTGTAAAACCTCACCTGTCGCAGTGTTCCCCACCTTGTAAAACCTCACCTGTCGCAGTATCTCCCACCTTGTAAAACCTCACCTGTCGCAGTGTTCCCCACTTTGTAAAACCTCACCTGTCACAGTGTTCCCCACCTTGTAAAACCTCACCTGTCACAGTGTTCCCCACCTTGTAAAACCTCACCTGTCACAGTGTTCCCCACCTTGTAAAACCTCACCTGTCGCAGTGTTCCCCACCTTTTAAAACCTCACCTGTCACAGTGTTCCCCACCTTGTAAAACCTCACCTGTCGCAGTGTTCCCCACCTTGTAAAACCTCACCTGTCACAGTGTTCCCCACCTTGTAAAACATCACCTGTCGCAATGTTCCTCAATTGTAAATTCCACATATTTCAATGGTCTCCACTATGTTAAAAAAAACCGTGTAACGTGTTCCCCACCTTGTAAACCCCCCGGTGTTACTGTGTTCCCCATCTTATATAACCCCACGTGTCACAGGGTCCCCCACCTTGTAAAACTCCACGTATCACAGTATATGTGTCCACGCTTAATTGTGGCGTTTCCCATGCAGACAGCCTTTGTACGGGTCATCACAGTCACTCACCTGGACATTTCCTCTGTTTTGCTGACCTCCTCAATGCTGACTCTATCCCTGAAATATATGTCAACCTTTTAGGATAGTCAACGTTTTATGAATGTCTTCGATATAACAAACAACATATTTACCAAATATTTTGTTTATTTGTTTTTATACACATCATGAATAAATTGTCGTGAAGATTTAAGTACATGTATTAATATACACGTCTTAGTGTGAGGTAAATCGCGATATCATTTTAACCAGGGATGTGTTTGTTTGTTTGTTTGTTTGTTTGTTTGTTTGTTTGCCGCAATAATCCAGCTAAAAGACAGCGGTCTGTAAATACACGTGGACCAGACAATCCAGTGATTGACATCATGAACATCGAATTGAGCAGTTTGGATACGATGACATGCATCAACCAAGAAACCGAACATGACCCGATCCCTTTAGTTGCCCCTCTAGACCAGAAATGTCCGCATATTGTGTTTCACGCCGTGTATCAAGGAAAACAGTCCGGTACTGAAACCGACGGATATTACTTCCACGTGTGTTTATATCTTGAGGGGTAATCATATACTGTAGCAAACTATGTCTTGTGTTTTGACAGATTCGCCGTGCACCCTCTTGCAGCATGTTTGTGTTCGTTGGTCCCTTATCCGTATTGAGGGGGGCACGGGTGGCCCAGTGGTCTAAAGCGCCCCGATTCGCTATGCAGAGTTGCGACCCTTGGGCACGCCAGAAACCTATGATTGTGGGTTCGAATCCAGGTTCGCCCCGATGATGTTTCTAGGTTTGTCAGCATCATACCCGTGCTCGTGGGTTTCACCGAAGTGGTAAACGTCTGAGACCTGCATCACTTCGGGCTTTCCTCCCACATTAAGCTGACACGCCGAGATATAACTGGAATACTGTCAAAAGCGGCGTTAAACCCAACTCACTCACTATCCGTATTGAGAGATAAAAGGGGAGATAAAAGACGTCACGGTTGTCACCCTATGTCCTAGAGTGTTAAAATGTTCCCCGCATGTATTGTGTCCTATGTTACCCGTGTAACAGCGATCCCTGCAAGTGGCGTGTCCTATGATACCCGTGTTACAGTGTTCCCTGCATGTATCATTTCCTATGTTACCCGTGTTACAGTGTTACCAGCATGTGACCTGTCCTATGTTATCCGTGTTACAGTGTTCCCTGCATGTGGCCTGTCCTATGTTATCCGTGTTACAGTGTTCCCTGCATGTGGCCTGTCCTATGTTATCCGTGTTACAGTGTTCCCTGCATGTGGCGTGTCCTATGTTACCCTTGTTACAGTGTTTCCTGCATGAGGCGTGTCCTATGTTACCCGTGTTACAGTGTTCCCTGCATGTGGCGTGTCCTATGTTACCCGTGTTACAGTGTTCACTGCATGTGACCTGTCCTATGTTACCCATGATACAGTGTTCCCTGCATGTGGCGTGTCCTATGTTACCCTTGTACCAGTGTTTCCTGCATGAGGCGTGTCCTATGTTACCCGTGTTACAGTGTTCCCTGCATGTGGCCTGTCCTATGTTACCCGTGTTACAGTGTTCACTGCATGTGGCGTGTCCTATGATACCCGTGTTACAGTGTTCACTGCATGTGGCGTGTCCTATGTTACCCTTGTACCAGTGTTCCCGACATGTGGCGTGTCCTATGATACCCGTGTTACAGTGTTCCCTGGATGTATCGTTTCCTATGTTACCCTTGTACCAGTGTTCCTGACATGTGGCGTGTCCTATGATACCCGTGTTACAGTGTTCCCTGCATGTATCCTTTTTCTATGTTACCCTTGTACCAGTGTTCCTGACATGTGGCCTGTCCTATGATACCCGTGTTACAGTGTTCCCTGCACGTGGCCTGTCCTATGATACCCGTGTTACAGTGTTCACTGCATGTTGTGTGTCCTTTGTTGCCCATGTACCAGTGTTCCCGACATGTGGCCTGTCCTATGATACCCGTGTTAAAGTGTTCCCCGCATGTGGCCTGTCCTATTATACCCGTGTTACAGTGTTCCCTGCACGTGGCCTGTCCTCTGTTACCCATGTTATAGTGTTCCCTGCATGTGGCGTGTCCTATGTTACCCGTGTTATGGTGTACACTGCATGTGGCGTGTCCTATGTTACCCGTGTTACAGTGTTCCCTGCATCTGGCGTGTCCTATGTTACCCTTGTACCAGTGTTCCCGACATGTGGCGTGTCCTATGTTACCCGTGTTACGGTGTTCCCTGCATGTGGCGTGTCCTATGTTACCCGTGTTACAGTGTTCCCTGCATGTGGCGTGTCCTATGTTACCCTTGTTACAGTGTTCACTGCATGTGGCGTGTCCTATGTTACCCGTGTTACGGTGTTCACTGCATGTGGCGTGTCCTATGTTACCCGTGTTACAGTGTTCCCTGCATGTGATGTGTCCTATGTTACCCGTGTTACAGTGTTCCCTGCATGTGGCGTGTCCTATGTTACCCGTTTAACAGCGATCCTTGCATGTGGCCTGTCCTATGTTACCCGTGTAACAGTGATCCCTGCATGTATCGTTTCCTATGTTACCCTTGTACCAGTGTTCCCGACATGTGGCGTGTCCTATGATACCCGTGTTACAGTGTTCCCTGCACGTGGCCTGTCCTATGATACCCGTGTTACAGTGTTCACTGCATGTGGCGTGTCCTATGTTACCCGTGTTACAGTGTTCCCTGCATGTGGCTCGTCCTATGTTGCCCGTGTTACAGTGTTCAATGCATGTGGCCTGTCCTATGATACCCGTGTTACAGTGTTCACTGCATGTGGCCTGTCCTATGATACCCGTGTTACAGTGTTCCCTGCACGTGGCCTGTCCTATGATACCCGTGTTACAGTGTTCCCTGCATGTATCGTTTCCTATGTTACCCTTGTACCAGTGTTCCCGACATGTGGCGTGTCCTATGTTACCCGTGTTACAGTGTTCCCTGCATGTGGCCTGTCCTATGTTGCCCGTGTTACAGTGTTCCCTGCATGTGGCGTGTCCTATGTTACCCTTGTTATTGTATTACCTGCATGTGGCCTGTCCTATGTTACCCTTGTTATTGTATTACCTGCATGTGGCCTGTCCTCTGTTACCCATGTTATAGTGTTCCCTGCATGTGGCCTGTCCTCTGTTACCCGTGTTACAGTGTTCCCTGCATGTGGCCTGTCCTATGTTGCCCGTGTTACAGTGTTCCCTGCACGTGGCGTGTCCTCTGTTACCCGTGTTACAGTGTTCCCTGCATGTGGCGTGTCCTCTGTTACCCGTGTTACAGTGTGCCCCGCATGTGGCGTGTCCTATGTTGCCCTTGTTACAGTGTTCCCTGCATGTGGCGTGTCCTCTGTTACCCGTGTTACAGTGTGCCGCGCATGTGGCGTGTCCTATGTTGCCCTTGTTACAGTGTTCCCTACATGTGGCCTGTCCAATGTTGCCCGTGTTACAGTGTTCACTGCATGTGGCGTGTCCTATGTTACACGTGTTACAGTGTTCCCTGCATGTGGCATGTCCTCTGTTACCCATGTTATAGTGTTCCCTGCATGTGGCCTGTCCTATGTTACCCGTGTTACAGTGTTCCTTGCATGTGGCCTGTCCTATGTTGCCCGTGTTACAGTGTTCCCTGTATGTGGCGTGTCCTATGTTACCCGTGTTACAGTGTTCACTGCATGTGACCTGTCCTATGTTACCCATGATACAGTGTTCCCTGCATGTGGCGTGTCCTATGTTACCCTTGTACCAGTGTTTCCTGCATGTGGCGTGTCCTATGTTACCCGTGTTACAGTGTTCCCTGCATGTGGCCTGTCCTATGTTACCCGTGTTACAGTGTTCACTGCATGTGGCGTGTCCTATGATACCCGTGTTACAGTGTTCACTGCATGTGGCGTGTCCTATGTTACCCTTGTACCAGTGTTCCCGACATGTGGCGTGTCCTATGATACCTGTGTTACAGTGTTCCCTGGATGTATCGTTTCCTATGTTACCCTTGTACCAGTGTTCCCGACATGTGGCGTGTCCTATGATACCCGTGTTACAGTGTTCCCTGCATGTATCGTTTCCTATGTTACCCTTGTACCAGTGTTCCTGACATGTGGCCTGTCCTATGATACCCGTGTTACAGTGTTCCCTGCATGTATCGTTTCCTATGTTACCCTTGTACCAGTGTTCCTGACATGTGGCCTGTCCTATGATACCCGTGTTACAGTGTTCCCTGCACGTGGCCTGTCCTATGATACCCGTGTTACAGTGTTCACTGCATGTTGTGTGTCCTTTGTTGCCCATGTACCAGTGTTCCCGACATGTGGCCTGTCCTATGATACCCGTGTTAAAGTGTTCCCCGCATGTGGCCTGTCCTATTATACCCGTGTTACAGTGTTCCCTGCACGTGGCCTGTCCTCTGTTACCCATGTTATAGTGTTCCCTGCATGTGGCGTGTCCTATGTTACCCGTGTTACGGTGTTCACTGCATGTGGCGTGTCCTATGTTACCCGTGTTACAGTGTTCCCTGCATCTGGCGTGTCCTATGTTACCCTTGTGCCATTGTTCCCGACATGTGGCGTGTCCTATGTTACCCGTGTTACGGTGTTCCCTGCATGTGGCCTGTCCTATGTTATCCGTGTTACAGTGTTCCCTGCATGTGGCGTGTCCTATGTTACCCTTGTTACAGTGTTCACTGCATGTGGCGTGTCCTATGTTACCCTTGTTACAGTGTTCCCTGCATGTGGCGTGTCCTATGTTACCCGTGTTACAGTGTTCCCTGCATGTGATGTGTCCTATGTTACCCGTGTTACAGTGTTCCCTGCATGTGGCGTGTCCTATGATACCCGTGTTACAGTGTTCCCTGCACGTGGCCTGTCCTATGTTACCCGTGTAACAGTGTTCCCTGCATGTATCGTTTCCTATGTTACCCTTGTACCAGTGTTCCCGACATGTGGCTTGTCCTATGATACCCGTGTTACAGTGTTCCCTGCACGTGGCCTGTCCTATGATACCCGTGTTACAGTGTTCACTGCATGTGGCGTGTCCTATGTTACCCGTGTTACAGTGTTCCCTGCATGTGGCGTGTCCTATGATACCCGTGTTACAGTGTTCCCTGCACGTGGCCTGTCCTATGATACCCGTGTTACAGTGTTCCCTGCATGTATCGTTTCCTATGTTACCCTTGTACCAGTGTTCCCGACATGTGGCGTGTCCTATGATACCCGTGTTACAGTGATCCCTGCATGTGGCGTGTCCTATGTTACCCGTGTTACAGTGTTCCCTGCATGTGGCCTGTCCTATGTTGCCCGTGTTACAGTGTTCCCTGCATGTGGCGTGTCCTATGTTACCCTTGTTATTGTATTACCTGCATGTGGCCTGTCCTATGTTACCTTTGTTATTGTATTACCTGCATGTGGCCTGTCCTCTGTTACCCATGTTATAGTGTTCCCTGCATGTGGCCTGTCCTCTGTTACCCGTGTTACAGTGTTCCCTGCATGTGGCCTGTCCTATGTTGCCCGTGTTACAGTGTTCCCTGCACGTGGCGTGACCTCTGTTACCCGTGTTACAGTGTTCCCTGCATGTGGCGTGTCCTATGTTGCCCTTGTTACAGTGTTCCCTACATGTGGCCTGTCCAATGTTGCCCGTGTTACAGTGTTCACTGCATGTGGCGTGTCCTATGTTACACGTGTTACAGTGTTCCCTGCATGTGGCATGTCCTCTGTTATCCATGTTATAGTGTTCCCTGCATGTGGCCTGTCCTATGTTACCCGTGTTACAGTGTTCCTTGCATGTGGCCTGTCCTATGTTGCCCCAGTTACAGTGTTCCCTGTATGTGGTGTGTCCTATGTTACCCGTGTTACAGTGTTCACTGCATGTGGCCTGTCCTATGTTACCCGTGTTACAGTGTTCCCTGCATGTGGCATGTCCTCTGTTACCCATGTTATAGTGTTCCCTGCATGTGGCCTGTCCTATGTTACCCGTGTTACAGTGTTCCCTGCATGTGGCCTGTTCAATGTTGCCCGTGTTACAGTGTTCCCTGCATGTGGCGTGTCCTCTGTTACCCGTGTTACAGTGTTCACGACATGTGGCCTGTTCAATGTTGCCCGTGTTACAGTGGTCCCTGCATGTGGCCTGTCTAATGTTGCCCGTGTTACAGTGTTCCCTGCATGTGGCGTGTCCTATGTTACACGTGTTACAGTGTTCCCTGCATGTGGCATGTCCTCTATTACCCATGTTATAGTGTTCCCTGCATGTGGCCTGTCCTATGTTACCCGTGTTACAGTGTTCCTTGCATGTGGCCTGTCCTATGTTGCCCCAGTTACAGTGTTCCCTGTATGTGGCGTGTCCTATGTTACCCGTGTTACAGTGTTCACTGCATGTGGCCTGTCCTATGTTACCCGTGTTACAGTGTTCCCTGCATGTGGCATGTCCTCTGTTACCCATGTTATAGTGTTCCCTGCATGTGGCCTGTCCTATGTTACCCGTGTTACAGTGTTCCCTGCATGTGGCCTGTTCAATGTTGCCCGTGTTACAGTGTTCCCTGCATGTGGCGTGTCCTCTATTACCCGTGTTACAGTGTTCACGACATGTGGCCTGTTCAATGTTGCCCGTGTTACAGTGGTCCCTGCATGTGGCCTGTCTAATGTTGCCCGTGTTACAGTGTTCCCTGCATGTGGCGTGTCCTATGTTGCCTGTGTTACAGTGTTCCCTGCATGTGGCATGTCCTCTGTTACCCGTGTTACAGTGTTCCCGACATGTGGCCTGTTCAATGTTGCCCGTGTTATAGTGTTCCCTGCATGTGGCCTGTCCTATGTTACCCGTGTTACAGTGTTCCCTGCATGTGGCCTGTCCTATGTTGCCCCAGTTACAGTGTTCCCTGCATGTGGCCTGTTCAATGTTGCCCTTGTTACAGTGTTCCCTGCATGTGGCATGTCCTCTGTTGCCCGTGTTAAAGTGTTCCCTGCATGTGGCCTGTCCTATGTTACCCCAGTTACAGTGTTCCCTGCATTTGGCCTGTCCTATGTTACCCATGTTATAGTGTTCCCTGCATGTGGCGTGTCCTCTGTTACCCGTGTTACAGTGTTCCCTGCATGTGGCGTGTCCTATGTTACCGGTGTTACAGTGTTCCCTGCATGTGGCATGTCCTATGTTGCCCGTGTTACAGTGTTCCTTACATGTGGCCTGTCCAATGTTGCCCGTGTTACAGTGTTTCCTGCATGTGGCCTGTCCAATGTTGCCCGTGTTACATTGTTTCCTGCATGTGGCCTGTCCTATGTTACCCGTGTTACAGTGTTCCCTGCATGTGGAAATATGTTAGCCGTGTTGTTACCATGCTGATCTTGGCCATCGTTTCCCACGTTTCCTTGACCTTCACTGTCACTCTCTGAACTCTTCAGTACTGACTCTGTCCCTGAAATACATGTCAACGTGGTTGGACAGTCTACTTTTTCTGAATGTTTTCGATATAATGAAGAACATATTTACTTAATAGTGTGTAATTATGTTTGTTTATTTACTAAACTACAATTAGTGGTCCATTTGAGTTCGTTATAACCGTTATAACTCTGAGCCCACTTTGATTTTGTGCTTATTAAAAATAATTTGGGTATAATTTGAGCAGTTAGTCGTTATTATTATTATACATAGACACTGTTTCGGTGTCATAACATCTCGGCTTTCACAGGAAATGGGCGCCAGACCACAGAGCCAGGTCCCCCTTTAAAACAGGTGTGTGTACTCACAGTTGTCATACACAGGCGATAATCCTCAAGTTTGTTTGTTGTTTTACGCCGAAGTCAGAAATATTCCCGTCATATGACGGCGTTCTGTAATTAATCGAGTCTGGACCAGACAATCCAGTGATTGATATCATGAGCATCGATCCACGCAATTGGGATTCGATGACATGCATGAACCAAGTCAGCGAGCCTGACCACCCGATCCCGTTAGTCGCCTCTTACGACAAGTGTTGTCACTGAATACCTGTCTTCACGAATCTCACCCTCAAGTCACGAGTCTTACCTGTCTTGTCACGTTTTGACGTTACAACATCTATGACAGTCTTAAAGATGTTCAGTTTGATTTCACCTGGAAGATACGAAACAATGTAAGTATAACGAAATGGCAGTGTAGATGCAGATAAAGACGTGCAGAAAGACAACTATTCACAAATAGAATTCAAATATCTGTTGAGTGTGAGTAGAGGCAATCTACTTACTCCAGGTAAGGATGCCGCAACAGGCTTCACTCTGGGTGAAAATTGTGTGTGACTAACTGTTGTTAAAGAGGCCGTAACAGGCGTCACTCTGGGTGAAAGTTGTGTGTGACTAACTGTTGTAAAGAGGCCGTAACAGGCGTCAGTCTGGGTGAAAGTTGTGTGTGACTAACTGTTGGTAAAGAGGCCGCAACAGGCTTCCCTCTGGGTGAAAGTTGTGTGTGACTAACTGTTGGTAAAGAGGCCGTAACAGGCTTCAATCTGGGTGAAAGTTGTGTGTGACTAACTGTTGGTATGGAAGCCGTAACAGGCTTCAATCTGGGTGAAAGTTGTGTGTGACTAACTGTTGGTAAAGAGGCCGTAACAGGCTTCAATCTGGGTGAAAGTTGTGTGTGACTAACTGTTGGTATGGAAGCCGTAACAGGCTTCAACCTGGGTGAAATTTGTGTGTGACTAACTGTTGGTAAAGAGGCCGTAACAGGCGTCACTCTGGGTGAAAGTTGTGTGTGACTAACTGTTGGTATGGAAGCCGCAACAGGCTTCCCTCTGGGTGAAAGTTGTGTGTGACTAACTGTTGGTATGGAAGCCGCAACAGGCTTCCCTCTGGGTGAAAGTTGTGTGTGACTAACTGTTGGTAAAGCGGCCGTAACAGGCTTCAATCTGGGTGAAAGTTGTGTGTGACTAACTGTTGGTAAAGCGGCCGTAACAGGCTTCACTCTGGGTGAAAGTTGTGTGTGACTAACTGTTGGTAAAGCGGCCGTAACAGGCTTCCCTCTGGGTGAAAGTTGTGTGTGACTAACTGTTGGTAAAGAGGCCGTAACAGGCGTCACTCTGGGTGAAAGTTGTGTGTGACTAACTGTTGGTAAAGAGGCCGCAACAGGCTTCCCTCTGGGTGAAAGTTGTGTGTGACTAACTGTTGGTAAAGAAGACGTAACAGGCTTCAATCTGGGTGAAAGTTGTGTATGACTAACTGTTGGTAAGGAGGCCGTAACAGGCGTCACTCTGGGTGAAAGTTGTGTGTGACTAACTATTGGTAAAGAGGCCGTAACAGGCGTCACTCTGGGTCAAAGTTGTGTGTGACTAACTATTGGTAAGGAGTCCGTAACAGGCGTCACTCTGAGTGAAAGTTGCCAGAAATCAAATTATCGCCACGATTAATTTGTGTGAACGGTCCCTTGTAATAATGTATACCGTAATGAGCAGAGCAACAATAGAGTTTAAACGAAACTAATTTATACGGAAACATTTCAGTCAGTTGAAAGTTGGGAGATGAGGAAGGAAGTCAGGCGCCCAGTTTAGAAGACTGGTTCCAACAATAGTCGATAGGAAAAGCAACTACCTTCCAGATGGCCAGGCTTAGGTCTTCCTCTCCTGTACAGGATAGTTACCATGGCGACACACCCGAGGACGACAATCGCGACAATGATCACGGAGACAATAGGCGCCACTGATTGACGTCCACGTGACGCGTTGAAGCTCGCTGTAAAATAATGATTGTCACATGTCATGCTTCATTCAGAGTTGCGTCCCTTGGGCACGCCAGAAACCTATGATTGTGGGTTCGAATCCCGGTTCGCCCCGATTATGTTTCTTGGTTTGTCAGCATCATACCCGTGCTCGTGGGTTTCACCGAAGTGGTAAACGTCAGAGACCTGCATCACTTCGGGCTTTCCTCCAACATTAAGCGGACATGCTGTGATATAACTGGAATAATCTTAAAAGCGGCGGTAAACCCAACTCACTCACTCACTCATACTACATTATACATTCCTTCCTATACATTCCCACCTGATGTCTGTCTTCATAAAGGGGCCTTTACGCTGCGACTAGGTTGGGGGGAGCTTGTACTAGTCAGGACTTATGCGTGAGTAAGTATGGTTTTACGCCGCTTTTTAGCAATATTCCAGCAATATCACGGCGGGAAACACCAGAAATAGGCTTCACACATTGTACCCATGTCGGGAATCGAACCCGGGTCTTCGGCGTGACGAGCGAACGCTTTAACCACTAGGCTACCCGACCGCCCCCTGGACTGATGAGGAGACATCGTAACCAGACATCTACACTTTAACCGTTCCTTTGCTAGGGCATATTTCATACCAGCAGAACCGCCTCTGTGATCTGGTTGATAGATCGTCTGCCCGGAGAGCGGAAGGTTGGGGGTTCGATCCCCGGCCGCGTCATACCAAAACGCGTTAGAAGATGGTAGTTGTTGTTACCCTGCCTGGTGCTCGGCATAAAGAAGATAAAACAAACTCGGGTGTATGAGTGGGTATCCCTTGTTAAACTTCGGCATGGGTGATGTGAGGTGAAATGGGGTTAAACGTAGCGTCCAAGATCATTGTACTTATATAGCGACGTGCATGCACGTGTGTCTGGGCGTGTGCGTGCGTGCGTGCGTGCGTGTGTGTGTGTGTGTGTGTGTGTGTGTGTGTGTGTGTCTGCCTGTACTAGTCCGGCGTAATGCCGATTTGATATCAGGTTTAGATTATTAACTAAATATCTGAACATTCTATTTATGTTTTAAAGAAAGAAGAGTTAAATATTCTCACCTTCTTTTACAAAACGCAGAGTTACCTCGCTTGGGCCTTCTTCGTTTTGAAGGTGAAGGATGTATGTACCAAAGTCATCGTCACTTTCAACCGCTGTATCCAGTGTGATTTGGTGTAGATTTGTCTCGAAGGTGTTGTTGTTGTAGACGGTGATGTTGACGTTGCAGGTGGTGTTCTTCCGGCTACAGTTCACGCTGAGTGCTTCGTAGGATAGCACAGAGAACGTCACGGTGACGGCCTTGCCAACGCCAGTATACACGTCATTAGGTGCGGCAACCACTTTCGGCACACCTACAAGTAGGCAGTACTTACAATTAATTAAGTGAAGCAAGACAGGACATACTGAAAAACGGACAGACGGACACAGAGACAAAGATATATGGAGGTAGACTGATAGGATGATAGAGTGAGAGGAAGGGACAGACAGACACATGGGCGAACAAATTATTAAGTTGGTTGGTTGGTTGGTTTGTTGTTTAACGCCGCAAATTCCAGCTATATGACGGCGGTTTGTAAATAATCGAATCTGGACCAGACAATCCAGTGATTGACATCATGAGCTTCGATCCACGCAACTGGGATCGATGACATGCATCAACCAAGTCAGCGAGCCTGACCACCCGATCCCGTTAGTCGCCTTTTACGACAAGCATAGTCACCTTTTACGGCAAGCATGGGTTGCTGAAGACCTATTCTACCCCGGAATACAAATTATTAAGAGATACACGGAAAAGAGCTTATATTGAAAGTGATGGAGAAAGAGAGATCGGGGGAAAGAGGGGTTGGTTGAAGGTTGGAGTGCCGGTGGTACTTACTTTGTTTTTTTTGTTTTTTATGTTTAACGCCGCATTCAGACATATTCCAGATACATGACGGCGGTCTGTAAACGAGTCTGAACCAGACAATTCAGTGATTGACATGATGGTCATCGAGCCACACATTTGGGCTATGATGACATGCATCAACCAAGTCAGCGAGCCTGACCACCCGATCCCGTTAGTCGCCTTTTACGACAAGCATAGTCACCTTTTACGGTAAGCATGGGTTGCTGAAGATTAATTTTAAGCCGGATCTTCGAGGCGGATGGTACTTACTCTTAACAAGGACACTGACACAGGCCTCCCTGTTGGAGTTTGGAAGTGCGTTGTGCACACTGCAACAATATCGTCCATGGTGCTGTGCCTCTGCGTTTGGAACGTTGTACGAGCTCTTATAGTTGTGCACGTTGAAGTCAGCGTTAGCAATGTAGGCAGGGTCAAATGTTGATTTCTTCAGCAGCGTTCGTGATTGGTCATCGCCTTCCATGTTAAAGTACCACGTGATGGTTGGTTCGGGTCGACCAATCACAATGCACGTCATATCGAGGGTTTGGTTCGCCTTGATGTTCATTCTGTCAGTCTCACGCTCATTGGCTGTTAATCTTTTTATGTCCGGTATTACTGAAGAAAAACATTTGCAGTATATTCTCAAATGCTTTGGGATTTGAATATGCAATCAACGGATGGTAGGGCGGCTCCTTCGACCTAGCAATGCTTCTCATAGGAGGTTATTGATAGGAATTTGACGTCGACGTTGACGTGTGGGACATCACCAGAGACACGAGTGAGTGAGTGAGTGAGTATGGTTTTACGCCGCTTTTTAGCAATATTCCAGCAATATCACGGCGGCGGACACGAGAAATGGGCTTCACACATTGTACCCATGTTGGGAATCGAACCCGGGTCTTCGGCGTGACGAGCGAACGCTTTAACCACTAGGCTACCCGACCGCCCCACCAGAGACACGAACGCTATCAAACCTGGGATTATGCTTTGAGTAGACCTTGCGTTGGTTGTAACAGAATAGGAGTACCTACGTTGGTTGTAACAGAATAGGTGTACTTGCGTTGGTTATTACAGGCTAGGTGTACTCGCGTTGGTTGTAACAGAATAGGTGTACTCAAGTTGGTTAATACCGAATACGTCTACTGACCTTGATTATTATAAAATGTATGGATCTTTGATATGGAGCCGTGGATGTTGCTGGTGATGCAGATGAATCTGTCGCCGACCACGGTCCGACGGGTGTCCACCACCTGTGTGATGACGTCGACGTCAGTCGCCGACTCCACCGTCACGTTATTCTTGGTGAAGGTGAGAGTGCACTTCGGCTGGCAGTCTGCCGAGCACGTGAGAGTGACCAGCTTGTTGTCGCCCTCCGACACACTTGACCGGAACTCCCTCGGGCCATCTGAAATATGTTGTACCACAGATGCACAGCTTGTGGTTATTTCTGATTCGTCCGAATCGCCACCTTAATCTTTCTGAATTGATTTCTCACAAAGTACACACAAAACTAAGATCGCTTATAATCATAAATGTTATGTCACTTGAAACGGGAAAATATCCCAGAAATCAGAATTCTATGATCATGATCTAGACAACTATTATACCTTAGGGCATAGGCAACCTTGTGGTTTAAATCGCCGCAATTTTCTGTGCAGAAAATTAAGACTCTTAGTTGCACCAGGCTGCAGTGGCCGTTGGGTCTAATCCAAGATTCGCATGAACTCGTACATGACCTTTGGTCTTTTCGTGGGTGAACATTTAAAATCTGTGTCACTGGGATTGGTGGATGGTCGTTCCCCCGTCATTAAGAAGGTCAAACTTGATAGTGAGTGAGTGAGTTGGGTTTAACGCCGCTTTTAACAGTATTCCAGTTATATCACGGCGTGTCCGCTTAATGTTGGAGGAAAGCCCGAAGTGATGCAGGTCTCAGACGTTTACCACTTCGGGGAAACCCACGAGCATGGGTATGGTGCTGACAAATCTAGAAACCTAATTGGGGCGAACCGGGATTCGAACCCACATACGCAACATGCAGAGAGATGTAATTGAAAATCCACAAAGTCCACAAAAAAGTCAACAATCCACAATATGTGTGAGAGACGTGTAAACAACATTTTCTTGAATCAGCGAGTTTGGATTATGGTCGTGTTTAAACAGTATTTAGTTGCAAACATTATTTCAGTTATATCACGGCGTCGTCTGCTTAATGAGGGAGGAAAGCCCGTAGGAATACAGGTCTTTGATGTTTACCACTTTGGTGAAACCAGTGAGTGAGTGAGTATGGTTTTACGCCGCTTTTAACAATATTCCAGCAACATCACAGCGGGGGACACCAGAAATGGGCTTCACACATTGTACCCATGTCGGGAATCGAACCCGGGTCTTCGGCGTGACGAGCTAACGCTTTAACCACTAGGCTACCCGACCGCCCCTCGTGAAACCAACATACAATGGTACAGTGATGACAAACCAAGTATTCGTGGTGATTTTTGAATTCAAACTCACGAACATGGGGTCCGGGCATGGCTAAGGGGCGCAACTCTGTACAACAAATCATGGTTCTCATTCCACGGGTTGCACGTTGAATGGAATTAGTGTTGGTACGATCAACGTAAAAATAGCACACTTACACTCAACAAATATCGGTGAGACTCGGCTCTCTCCGGTCCAACTGCCTCCCTCCTCCTTCACTGAACACCGAAACACCTTCCCATCATACATCATGCTCAGGTTGGTAATTGTCAGGTTCGGCCCGGTCTGCTTGATGTACTGATCCGGATGGACGGTTTCTCCGTTTTTTACCCAGTGATAGGTCATTGGCAGTCCATGGTTGCCGGGAAGTGACCGGGACTTCGTCACACAGGTAATGGTGTACTCCGTATACAGGATCGGGGCCGAGGGCGTTGCTATGCGCGGCTTCGTTGGCGTCTCTGAAAAACATATCATCAATCTGGTTTTATTATTGGATGCAAACTTGTTATTTATAGAATCTTAAAAGGCACATTGTCCCGTTGTCGGCATTACAAAACCAGACATGTGCTTGGAAACCCAAAATTGTGACCAACAAACTGGATAATTAGGTCACGTTGGGCTGGAGTTTTTGAAGGTGACAACGCGACAATGTCCCTTCTAGGATACCATTGTTATCAAACGAAAGAATCGTTGAGTTTTTTTTAACTCCGCTTGATTAGCCCTATATCCAGCCTTACGTTTTTTTATTTGTTTGTTGTTTAAAGCTGCACGCAGCAATTTCCAGCTTTATGGCGGCGGTCTGTAAATGATCTGTTTCGACAAGTCAATCAAGTGATTGACATCATGAGCACCGATCTACGCAACTGGGATAATGGTGACACGCATCAACAAAGTCAGCGAGCCTGACCACCCGACCCCGTTAGTCGCCTCTTACGACACGTATAGTAGCCTTTTACGGCATGAATGGGTTGCTGAAGACCAATTATAAAATGGTTGGTTGGTTGGTTTGTTGTTTAACGCCGCACTATGCAATATTCCAGCTATATGACGGCGGTCTGTAAATAATCGAGTCTGGACCAGACAATCCAGTGATTGATATCATGCGCATCGATCCACGCAATTGGGATCGATGACATGCATCAACCAAGTCAGCGAGCCTGACTACCCGATCCCGTTAGTCGCCTTTTACGACAAGCAGAGTCACCTTTTACGGTAAGCATGGGTTGCTGAAGACCTATTCTACCCCGGAATCTTCACGGGTCAATTCTAAAATGGACCTTCACTGGTATCCAGCATTGTAGTGAGTGAGTGAGTTGGGTTTAACGCCGCTTTTAACAGGATTCCAGTTATATCACGGCGTGCCAGCTTAATGTGGGAGGAAAGCCCGAAGTGATGCAGGTCTAAGACGTTTACCACTTCGGTGAAACCCACGAGCACGGGTATGGTGCTGACAAACCTAGAAACATAATCGGGGCGAACCGGGATTCGAACCCACAATCAAAGGTTTGCCCAAGGGACGCAACTCTGCACAGCGAATCGCGGCGCCTTAGACGACTGGGCCACCCGTGCTCCCCCCCCCAGCATTGTAAGGGCGGTGGATGCACTAATGAGCTTGACGTGAAAGAAGGGTGAAATAAATTTTGCTTTAAGAACCATTCCGGATAAACATTGAAAGTATTTCACAACATTGTTCCCATGTCTCGAGCCTAACTCCGCCCACGGTGTGAAGAGACAACGCGTGTTATATAACTTTCGATGGAAACTACACACAGTCAAGTCTCGTTAATCCGAGATTCGGCTTTATCCGACACTAATGATGGGAACCGATTAAATCAGTGCTATTTAGACCCGTGAATCCGACAGTCTCGCACTCCGACTCCGACATACCTAATTTGCAACGAATTATCGAAATCACTCATTAATCAGTCTCGTTAATCTGACACAGTGATCAGCGTACTCCGTGGTCATCTGCCCGCGAGTACACAGCCCGTGTTTTGATGTTTCAAACTTGCGACTTCCATTCCAGACTATGCTTTTAAAAGTATTTTCAAAAAGTCATACAGTCCGTAACAGATGTTTGGTGTTGAGCTTTAGAGGTTGCATGATTAGAAAACATATTCCGCTGACAATGTAACATTACAATATGAATATTTCATTTTTATTTTTTTATTACGTGTTTGTTTCGTTATCCATCGTGTAGTTGTCCGATTTTCGATCACGAGGGCTGATACTACTTAATTTCGTTTATCCGACATACTCGTTAATCCGACATACTCGTTTATCCGACATACTCGGTAATCCGACATACTCGTTTATCCGACAAACTCGTTTATCCGACATACTCGTTAATACGACATACTCGTTTATCCGACATACTCGTTAATCCGACATACTCGTTAATCCGACATACTCGTTAATCCGACAAACTCGTTAATCCGACATACTCGTTTATCCGACATACTCGTTAATCCGACATACTCGTTTATCCGACAAACTGGTTTATCCGACATACTCGTTAATACGACATACTCGTTTATCCGACATACTCGTTAATCCGACATACTCGTTAATCCGACATACTCGTTTATCCGACTATCCGAATAACGGAACACTTAGTTTTAGACAGTAAAATAATATGCTGTCATGGATTCCTAGCCGTGTCTACCAAATACGTGTCCACAACAATGCTTGGTTGGTTTGTTGTTTAACGCCGCACTCAGCAATATTCCAGCCATATGACGGCGGTCTGTAAATAATCGAGTCTGGACCAGACAATCCAGTGATTAATATCATGAGCATCGATCCACGCAATTGGGATCGATGACATGCATCAACCAAGTCAGCGAGCCTGACCACCCGATCCCGTAAGTCGCCTTTTACGACAAGCATAGTCACCTTTTACGGTAAGCATGGGTTGCTGAAGACCTATTCTACCCCGGATCTTCATGGGTTCCACAACAATGCACACAAACACATCTCAACATTTGATTCTGACATGTATTGAATTTGTTTGGTGCTATTTTAAATGGACTGACAGCAAAGCTCACTTCCCTATATTTCCCATTGTTCTCTTATTCGTTTCCATCGGTATATTTATATAAAAGGGAAGATATAATGTAATGAAACTAGGATATTTCCCTGAGCCAAAAACTCAAAGGTGAGGTGAGGTGAAATGGGGTTTAACGTCGCGTCCAAGATTATTGCACTTATATAGCGACGTGCATGTACGTGTGTGTGTTTGTGAGGCTGCTTTTACTAGTCCGGACTGATGCCGAGTTATAGTGCTAGCCCATTTAGATACCATGCCGCAGTTTAACATGAATACCCCACTCAGACACAGTATACTGACTCCGAGCCGACCAGTCCTTGTTTTAGCCCCTTAATGCCGCGCGCCAGGCAGGGTAACAACAAGTACCATCTTTAAACGTCTTGTGGTATGACGCGGACGGGGATCGAACGCCGGACCTTCCGCTCTCTGGGAGGACGCTCTACCACTAGACCACGGAGGAGGTCTCTTCCACGTAATGCAATCATATTTGCAAGTACTGTTGTCAAACGTCTGCATAATCACACAATTCATAGACGGAGTAGTCTCAAGGTCGTTTCGGTTTCGGTAATGTATCTAAAGTCAACCTCACTGCACAATAGGGCAGTTAATTGAGCATACAACAACGGGAAAGAATCACACAGGCTTCCTGTTTCTGTTAAGCGTTGAAGAAATACATCATGAAACTTAATCAAGATCGCAGTCTAGATATATATAGGCCACCAGAGTCCCGGACGGTGGGATGGCCCAGTGGTTAAAGTGTTTGTTCGTCACGACATCCCTGGTTCGATTCACCACAGGGGTACAGATATTGCTTTATCATCCCCAATTGTCGGTAAAAATGATTATCGACCTCTGGTTTTACTGATCCAGGATCGATGACATTTTCAAGGAGTCTGGAATAAATTATTTGGTAAATTCTTGATTATAAGGTCAATGTCTCTGTGGGTGGCGGGGGCACGGGTGGCCCAGTCGTCTAAGGCGCCGCGATTCGTTGTGCAGAGTTGCGTCCCTTGGGCACGCCAGAAACCTATGATTGTGGGTTCGAATCCCGGTTCACCCCGATTATGTTTCTAGGTTTGTCATCACCATACCCGTGCTCGTGGGTTTCACCGAAGTGGTAAACGTCCGAGACCTGCATCACTTCGGGCTTTCCTACCACATTAAGCTGACACGCCGTGATATAACTGAAATACTGTTAAAAGCGGCGTTAAACCCAACTCACTCACTCACTCACTCACTCTGTGGGTGGCGGTGTAGCCAATGTTCGATTCCCCTCATGTGTCCCGTAATTCGCCTATTAGGGGCCGCCCGGATATAGCTGGACTGTTTCTGACTGTGGCGTTAAACAGTGGAGTTTGCTGGATTGATTGACTAAGTACGAATAAGATATATGGATGAACAACTTCTTTACTGTAATTAGGAGCGACGTTTCGGTGTAGGTTCTAACACCGTTATCAAGCAGGTGATGTATTGCTTTATAACGGTGTTAGAACCCACACAGAAACGTTGCTCCTAATTGTAATAAAAAAGTCGTTCATCCGTATATCTTATCCTTACTTAGTACTCCAACTTCTTAATGCCTCTCAAAGAAGTTTGATTGATATATTTTAGTTGCAATAAGCTGTGCCAAACCAAAATTCACACAGTCACTCGGTTGTGATTGGACACGAGTCTTGGGCACCGCCATGACACTGAATGATCATGGGTGTTCTAACGCCTTATACCGAGGGAGTCCGCCATGACACTGAATGATCATGGGTGTTCTAACGCCTTATACCGAGGGGAGTCCGCCATGACACTGAATGATCATGGGTGTTCTAACGCCTTATACCGAGGGGAGTCCGCCATGACACTGAATGATCATGGGTGTTCTAACGCCTTATACCGAGGGGAGTCCGCCATGACACTGAATGATCATGGGTGTTCTAACGCCTTATACCGAGGGGAGTCCGCCATGACACTGAATGATCATGGGTGTTCTAACGCCCTATACCGAGGGGAGTCCGCCATGACACTGAATGATCATGGGTGTTCTAACGCCTTATACCGAGGGAGTCCGCCATGACACTGAATGATCATGGGTGTTCTAACGCCTTATACCGAGGGGAGTCCGCTGCGGAATGGTAATACGAAGCCATGCAGGCTTTAAAGCTTCCCACTGAGGTGAGTCCAGTGAGTACGGCTATGACAAACCAACAATCATAACCTGGGGGAATCCGGAATTCGAACCCATTATCACAGGATTTTTGGCCTGTCCAAGGGACGCAACTCTGCCGGCGCCACAACAACACCAAATTTGGATCCTTAACTTTACCTTGTATAATCAGCATGGCTGTTTCAGGATCTGCTGCTTTGTAGCACATCTGGTAGATTCCTGCATCAGCCTTGCTGAGGTTAGACAGCGTGTAGGAAGACAAATGTCCCCCGTCTCCATTATAGGACAACCGTTCTTCATACTCCCTTGACACATTGAAAGAGGACCGTCTCGCACAGAAAGAGAGTCTCTGACATCCGGGGCTCCAACACGCGCTGGCATTCTCATAGGCGAGTCCATTGTCATCCAAGGGTAGACGGCATAGTTCTACTGGATTGTTACATCTAAGTAGATGTTGGAATGGGAGAGTGATGTCGCGCCCTTCTCGACCCTGGATCTGACGGAGGCCTGACGCATCTGAAAATGTTGTAATATATTATTGAGGGAATATAGTAACGGTGCCATACAAACCATTGGAACTGGTTTTGAATCTTCCTTTGTTTCCGAGGCCAATGCTTAGGTGGTCGACATTGGTTAGAAATAATTGTCTTAATTCATATAATTGATATTGTTACTGATGCGGTAAATCGATACGATAAACTTGGTATCACGGCCAGATAGACATGCAAATGAGGCCACCTGTCGTAAAAGGCGACTTTGCTTGTCGTAAGAGGCAACTCTGCTTGTCGTAATAGGCGACTAATGGGATCGGGTGGTCAGGCTCGCTGACTTGGTTGATGCATGTCATCGTATCCAAATTGCGCGGATCGATGCTCATGAAGTTGGTCCAGACTCGATTATTTACAGACCGCCGTCTTATAGCTGGAATATTGCTGAGTGCGGCGTTAAACAACAAACAAACATACCAAATAATATAACAATAGCTTAGCCGTGTCAGGAAACAAACAAATGTTGCGACATGTCTAATTATAAACGCTGGAATTCAAAGCACCTTGAAAGTGAACTTTTATTATAAAAATCTTTTATCAACAGACGCCATGCATACAACATATTTCACGTTAAGCCAAAAGGTAAAGAACATAGAGACAGAACTCGGTACTTGGCGTGCGATTACATAACCAACTTGATTGTCTGGTCCAGACTGGATTATTTACAAACCGCCGTCATATTGCTGGAATATTGCTGACGATATCATCACTTTCATTAATGAACATTGCCAACATGTAGGACTGTCTCTCTGTCGCAGGGGCGGTCGGGTAGCCTAGTGGTTAAAGCGTTCGCTTGTCACGCCGAAGACCCGGGTTCGATTCCCGACATGGGTACAATGTGTGAAGCCCATTTCTGGTGTCCCCCGCCGTGATATTGCTGGAATATTGCTAAAAGCGGCGTAAAACCATACTCACTCACTCACTCTCTGTCGCAAAGTACATAGTCATGGCTCATTAACAGTGAAGTGGGTTTAACGATTCCACGACTATTGCACTTATATAGCGACATGCATGCACGTGTGTGTGTGTGTGTGGCTGCTTGTACTAGTCCGGACTGATGCCGATGTATTGTGCTAGCTCACCGAGATACAATGCCGCAGTTTAACATGAATACCCCACTCAGACACAGTATACTGACGCCGAGCAGAGAAGTCCTTGTTTTAGCCCCTTAATGCCGAGCGCCAGACAGGGCCTTCCGTTCTCCGGGCGGACGTTCTTCCACTAGGCCATGGAGGCGGTCAGTTGATTAACAGTAATGACTGTGATATTTAAACTTTGCTTTTCTAGAGAATTTTCATGAATCATGAATGATGACAATTTATTACCGTGTGTGGCTGTTCTCGAGAGACAATGATTCACAGACGTGCATCTTTATCCGTAAATTTTCAAGTAGATGTTAACATAATGCTCAGATCATACACAAATCATAAGCAGCAAAACGTGGATTCCCGGTAGGTTATAACGATATTTTGTAGATTTGCTGTTACGTCCTTGTGGGAATTCAGGATTAGATAAGGCCGATTAATGAGTGAGTGAGTGTGTATGGTTTTACCCTGCTTTTGGCAATATTCCAGCAATATCACGTCGGGGGACACCCGAAATTGGCTTAACACATTGTACCCATGTCGGGAATCGAACCCGGGTCTTCGGCGTGACGAGCGAACGCTTTAACCACTAGGCTACCCGACCGTCGTATTTATTGTATTATATCGAGCTTTCCTCGCGTGATTGTGTTAATGGAACATAATTGCGTAAAATTGGGTGCCAAAATGATGGTTGACGGAGTGAGAGAGTGAGTGAGTGAGTGAGTGGGTACAGTTGTAAGCCTCTTTCAGCAATATTCCAGCAATATCACGACTGGGACTCTAGGAATGGTCTTCCATGTCGGGACTCGAACCCGGGATCGTTGAGCATGCTATCAGTCACAAGTGTGCCTGGTCCTTATAGGATTATGTACCGGCTGATATGTCTGGAATATTGCTGACTGTGGCGTTAAACAATATTCACTCACTTTTAAATGTACGTATCATCTGGTTCACCGACTAATAATATTCATATAATAATATAATAATTAATTTCAAACACAGATTTTGGGGAAAGCCCAAAGTGACTAAGAATATACATGTTGACGTTTACCATGAACCCATGAACCCATGAAACACAACCACAGCCAAGAGACGAAATGTGCATCCAGAAGTATAGTATTAATGATAGCTCAACCATGTAGGAAGATCGAACCGCATGTCACATGGTCAGGAGCTGGTGATGTACTTTGATCTTCCCGTCTCTTCTGTGGGGATTGACCGCCTCCGTGGTCTAGTGGTAGAGCGTCCGCCCGGTGAACGGAAGGTCCGGGGTTCGATCCCCGGCCGCGTCATACCAAAAGACGTTAAAAGATGGTACTTGTTGATACCCTGTCTGGCGCTCGGCATTAAGGGGCTAAAACAAGGACTTGTCGGCTCGGAGTCAATATACTGTGTCTGAGTGGGTTTTTCATGTTAAACTGCAGCATGGTATCTCAGTGAGCTAGCACTATAGATTGGCATCAGTCCGGACCAGTACAAGCAGCCACACGCACGCATACACACACGTGCATGCACGTCGCTTATATAAGTGCAATAATCTTGGACGCGACGTTAAACCCAATTTCACCTCACCTCTGTTACAGATACATATATCTGATTGTGTGCACTCACCTGCAACTGGATATATATCCACAGCAAGGAGAAGCATGTAGATGAGACGGAACATGACTGCCGACCTACTCTACTGAGGACGATACTGTGATCTGTGTGAGGCAGGGTGATGTTTCACGTCCGTGTCCGTCAGTGTAAAGTGCGCGAATACACAGTCATACTTCCCGGCTGTGGGTATTTCCCTTTAAGTCCTTCTCTTGATGTCCTGTGAGTCAATCGTCACACTTATCAAGAACTATCAATTTCCAAATAACGCTTGAGCCATGTGCAGTTCAGGTTTATGTGCGATACTTCCTCAATATGACCACATGGGATTCCGCACTCCATGGAAGTCGCAAGGGCCAACTGATGAGGTCGGTGAGGATAGGGTGGTTACAATACAGTAAACTACGGTTATAACGAACTAAAAGGGACCACTAATTTTAGTTCGTTATAACTGTAGTTCGTGATAAGCATATACACAGCATATACACATACATATATAAGCGTGTTTGTTATAACCGTAGTTTACTGTATGTGATCTTTCTGATTTTGTCACATCGTATGCCGATGGCGTGGATTGTTTTTTTGTGTTTTCTTTTTGCTTTTTCTTCTTTTTTCTTCTAGAGAACATGAAAGATGTGTAGTGTTTTAAGTTTTTTAGCAAGGCGTGTAGCGTTTAAGTTACCAAAGAACACCAAAGCGTGTAGCGTTTAAGTTTTCTAGCAAGGCGTGTAGCGTTTAAGTTACCAAAGAACAGCAAGGCGTGTAGCGTTTAAGTTTTCTAGCAAGGCGTGTAGCGTTTAAGTTACCAAAGAACAGCAAGGCGTGTAGCGTTTAAGTTTTCTAGCAAGGCGTGTAGCGTTTAAGTTACCAAAGAACAGCAAGGCGTGTAGCGTTTAAGTTTTCTAGCAAGGTGTGTAGCGTTTAAGTTACCAAAGAACAGCAAGGCGTGTAGTGTTTAAGTTACCAGAGAACAGCAAGGCGTGTAGTGTTTAAGTTACCACAGAACAGCAAGGCGTGTAGTGTTTAAGTTACCAAAGAACAGCAAGGCGTGTAGCGTTTAAGTTTTCTAGCAAGGCGTGTAGCGTTTAAGTTACCAGAGAACAGCAAGGCGTGTAGCGTTTAAGTTTTCTAGCAAGGCGTGTAGCGTTTAAGTTACTAAAGAACAGCAAGGCGTGTAGCGTTTAAGTTTTCTAGCAAGGCGTGTAGCGTTTAAGTTACCAAAGAACAGCAAGGCGTGTAGCGTTTAAGTTACCAGACAACAGCAAGGCGTGTAGTGTTTAAGTTACCAGAGAACAGCAAGGCGTGTAGTGTTTAAGTTACCAGAGAACAGCAAGGCGTGTAGCGTTTAAGTTTTCTAGCAAGGCGTGTAGCGTTTAAGTTACCAGAGAACAGCAAGGCGTGTAGCGTTTAAGTTTTCTAGCAAGGCGTGTAGCGTTTAAGTTACCAAAGAACAGCAAGGCGTGTAGCGTTTAAGTTACCAGAGAACAGCAAGGCGTGTAGCGTTTAAGTTACCAGAGAACAGCAAGGCGTGTAGTGTTTAAGTTACCAGAGAACAGCAAGGCGTGTAGTGTTTAAGTTACCAGAGAACAGCAAGGCGTGTAGCGTTTAAGTTACCAGAGAACAGCAAGGCGTGTAGCGTTTAAGTTTTCTAGCAAGGTGTGTAGCGTTTAAGTTACCAGAGAACAGCAAGGCGTGTAGTGTTTAAGTTACCAGAGAACAGCATGGCGTGTAGCGTTTAAGTTACCAGAGAACAGCAAGGCGTGTAGCGTTTAAGTTACCAGAGAACAGCAAGGCGTGTGGTGTTTAAGTTACCAGAGAACAGCAAGGCGTGTAGCGTTTAAGTTTTCTAGCAAGGTGTGTAGCGTTTAAGTTACCAGAGAACAGCAAGCCGTGTAGTGTTTAAGTTACCAGAGAACAGCATGGCGTGTAGCGTTTAAGTTACCAGAGAACAGCAAGGCGTGTAGCGTTTAAGTTACCAGAGAACAGCAAGGCGTGTGGTGTTTAAGTTACCAGAGAACAGCAAGGCGTGTAGTGTTTAAGTTACCAGAGAACAGCAAGGCGTGTGGTGTTTAAGTTACCAGAGAACAGCAAGGCGTGTAGCGTTTAAGTTACCAGAGAACAGCAAGGCGTGTAGCGTTTAAGTTACCAGAGAACAGCAAGGCGTGTAGCGTTTAAGTTACCAGAGAACAGCAAGGCGTGTAGCGTTTAAGTTACCAGAGAACAGCAAGGCGTGTAGTGTTTAAGTTACCAGAGAACAGCAAGGCGTGTAGCGTTTAAGTTACCAGAGAACAGCAAGGCGTGTAGTGTTTAAGTTACCAGAGAACAGCAAGGCGTGTAGTGTTTAAGTTACCAGAGAACAGCAAGGCGTGTAGCGTTTAAGTTACCAGAGAACAGCAAGGCGTGTAGCGTTTAAGTTACCAGAGAACAGCAAGGCGTGTAGTGTTTAAGTTACCAGAGAACAGCAAGGCGTGTAGCGTTTAAGTTACCAGAGAACAGCAAGGCGTGTAGCGTTTAAGTTACCAGAGAACAGCAAGGCGTGTAGTGTTTAAGTTACCAGAGAACAGCAAGGCGTGTAGCGTTTAAGTTACCAAAGAACAGCAAGGTGTGTAGTGTTTAAGTTACCAGAGAACAGCAAGGCGTGTAGCGTTTAAGTTTTCTAGCAAGGCGTGTAGCGTTTAAGTTACCAAAGAACAGCAAGGCGTGTAGCGTTTAAGTTACCAAAGAACAGCAAGGCGTGTAGCGTTTAAGTTACCAAAGAACAGCAAGGTGTGTAGCGTTTAAGTTTTCTAGCAAGGCGTGTAGCGTTTAAGTTACCAAAGAACAGCAAGGCGTGTAGCGTTTAAGTTACCAAAGAACAGCAAGGCGTGTAGTGTTTAAGTTACCAGAGAACAGCAAGGCGTGTAGCGTTTAAGTTACCAGAGAACAGCAAGGCGTGTAGCGTTTAAGTTACCAGAGAACAGCAAGGCGTGTAGCGTTTAAGTTACCAGAGAACAGCAAGGCGTGTAGCGTTTAAGTTTTCTAGCAAGGCGTGTAGTGTTTAAGTTACCAGAGAACAGCAAGGCGTGTAGTGTTTAAGTTACCAGAGAACAGCAAGGCGTGTAGTGTTTAAGTTACCAGAGAACAGCAAGGCGTGTAGCGTTTAAGTTACCAGAGAACAGCAAGGCGTGTAGCGTTTAAGTTTTCTAGCAAGGTGTGTAGCGTTTAAGTTACCAAAGAACAGCAAGGCGTGTAGCGTTTAAGTTTTCTTGATGGCGTGGATTGTTACCCGTGCTGTCAATACAGTGCTTGTCTTGCGCAGGATCCAAAATAATATTGTTGTAGAGTAACATCCACTCACTACTCCATGAAGACACTTTTCCTGGAGGTTCTTGTGGCCAATTCGTCTAAAAAGCCGCAGTTCGTTGTTCGTAGATGCTTACCTTAGGCGTTCAAGAAACCTATGGTCGAATCCCGTTTCCCGACCGACCGTTCTTATTGTGGTTCTTTTACTTTCTATTTTTATAGGGGGCACGGGTGGCCCACTCGTCTAAGGCGCCGCGATTCGCTGTGCAGAGTTGCGTCCCTTGGGCACGCCAGAAACCTATGATTGTGGGTTCGAATCCCTGCTCGCCCCGATTATGTTTCTAGGTTTGTCAGCACCATACTCGTGCTCGTGGGTTTCACCGAAGTGGTAATCGCCTCGGTCCTGCTGATGTCAGAATTTCCTCCATATCAAGCTGACACTCTGTGATATAACCTCACTCACTCACTCACTCACTCACTCACTCACTCACTCACTCACTCACTCACTCACTCACTCACTCACTCACTCACTCACTCACTCACTCACTCACTCACTCACTCACTCACTCACTCACTCACTCACTCACTCACTATGGTCATTAACAAGTTTTAACAAGAACCACTGGATTCACTATGAATGGGGCGGTCGGGTAGCCCGGTGGTTAAAGCGTTCGCTCGTCACGCCGAAGACCCGGGTTCGATTCCCGACATGGGTACAATGTGTGAAGCCCATTTCTGGTGTCCCCCGCCGTGATATTGCTGGAATATTGCTAAAGGCGGCGTAAAACCATACTCACTCACTCACTCACTCTTTAATCTGGTCACAACAGAAATTGGTCACGTACACGTACGGTTGTAACGAACTCAAAGGGACCACTTATATTAGTTCGTTATAACCGGAGTTCGTTATAAACATATATACAGCATATATGCAACAAATGGCCGGGACTAAAAATAAGTTGGTTATATCGGTCAGTTCGTTATAAGCGTGTTCGTTATAACCGTAGTTTAATGTACATGAATAGAATCTTTTGGTTGAGTAATACGTAGCTACGCCTGGTCCGCCTTATAACTATGCATTATATAGACTTGATTATAGACCAGTGTTCATATCCTTGTAGCACGAGCTGATGGGCGTGTTAGGGAGGTTCCCATTTGCTGAAGAATTAGCAAGTAGCCCCAGTGTTGATTTTATTCTTGTCATTATCAGTCTGTAGTGAGAGAGTTGGGTTTAACGCCGATTTAAACAGTATTCCAGTTATATCACGTCGTGTCAGCTTAATGTGGGAGGAAGGCCCGAAGTGATGCAGGTCTTAGACGTATACCACTTCGGTGAAACCCACGAGCACGGGTATGGTGCTGACAAACCTAGAAACATAATCGGGGCGAACCGGGATTCGAACCCACATAGGATTCGGGTGTGACCAAGGGACGCAACTGTTCACAGCGAATTACGGCGCCTTAGACGACTGGGCCACCCGTGTCCCCTTATTAGCCTGTATTACAAGTCACTTGAAAAACGCCAACTTGAATCCTAGTCAGTTCCGAACATGGTGAAATGTTACGGAAGAAATTGAGTTTTCAGATTTACGGATGCTTTCAGAAACTGGTTTTTTTTAGGGTGAATAGTAAATCTATTTCAAAGAAATCTGATCAACCCTAGCACCGGATCTTTTGAAACCAATTTTTTGGGACTGCATCAGGAAATGTAATGTTTGTTTAATTCTATTTACATATGATGTTTATGTTTTGACACGAATATCTATCAGGTCACTCTTAATTTCCCAGAAGGATTTAGAAAGGCACTGAACGAGGGATCCTAAAAATACACAATGACAGTATCGATGTATTTATTTATATCATACATTTATATACCGCATGCATCCGGAT